TCTGCTCTGCTCTGCTCTGCTCTGCTCTGCTCTGCTCTGCTCTGCTCTGCTCTGCTCTGCTCTGCTCTGCTCTGCTCTGCTCTGCTCTGCTCTGCCCCGCCCTGCTCCATTTTGCTCTGTTCTGCCTGCGCGGCTGCTGACTCGCCTTTGCATTTATAGTGTCGCCGACAAGACCGCCAGGCCCACCTCAAAGATGGGACAGACACTGCCGGTGGAGCTGAGACGAAGAGCCATCGGCGAGGGCCTCGGCCTCGCCACGGTTCCGGAACCCCAGTCCGCCATTGACCGGCAGCTCGTCGCGAGCATCTACGAGATCCAGTACGGCCAAAGCGTGAAGCAGGCGGATGCGAACCAATGGCGATTCCAGATCAAATTGCAGCATCGGTTGGTCGGGGCGGAACGAACGGCAAATGGTCAAGTCCGGCTGTGGTTCCAGCAGCCAGAATCAAAAGACCAGGACCAGGATCAGGACCAAAACGAAGGCCGGCGCAACGTGTTCGACTTGGTCATAGCCGCGACAGGCTACGCCAGATCAGAATACAAGAAGCTCACGCAGCCCCTGGTTGCCAGCGGCTTGTTGGATGGTGCCCAGATCACCGTGGACCGAGACTACCAGGTCAATTTCCGCTCCGGCACCTGCGCCGCGGGATGTGGGTTGTGGTTACAGGGTGCCTTGGAAGGAGACGATGTAAGTTCCAGGCGTGAATATTGACCTGAACCCCGAATCTTGAGCCCTAAGTCCTGGACCCTGAACCCTGAGCTCTGAGCCCCGAGCCTTGTGCGGCCTCTTCATCTTCAGGTTCCTTATCGCTCGCAACGGTGACAGATGACTAACTGTATCTATATAGACGGATGACAACCTATACCCGGTTCTCGCGGCACGGAGCAGCCGTGTCGTCGACTCGATACTGTCCCAACGATCTGACCGACTGAACTCGGACGCCACGGCCATCCCGGCCGAGGAGAGAGTGGCACGGCTCTAAAGTGAAGTCCGACCGAGCGATCCACGTTTCCAGAAACAGTGGATGTGGGATCCGGTACGGGCAGCGATTGTTTTGAAAAGAAATCGGGGGAATCTTCACAGTCATTGGAGTTGACTATATCTTACATACAGTCATCTTCATCTTCTGCAGCATCGAAGCGACCAAAAGCAACTAGATGGTAGATGGTAGACGGTAGATGGTGTTGCGGGCAGGAAAACGATAATATAGAACAACTTGTTTGTGACCGTCAGTCATCATTTCAATTGGGCACTGTGATTCAAGTCTAGACGCCTGACATGTGCTGACATGCTTTGCTACAGCTACATACAGTCTGTAACAGTAATAGGCTCGGCGATGTGATATGAAGTGATCTGGTACAGTATGAACTAACAGACCAAAACAGATCAGATCAGACTGGCTGAGAGGTGTGGGTGTGAATCCTTTAGGGCATAGCCGGAGTTGGAAGTGATCTTTGCAAATGGCATGGTGGAACAGAATACTACTCCCAATCACAATCACAGCCTCGCTCGGTCCTTGGACAAAATCTGCTCCGCCAACTGCGCCAGCTCAAACTTTCTCACCTTCCCGCTGCCCGTCAACGGGACGGTGGCGGGAATGCCATGTTCGCCCAGCCAGAAGACGTGCGCGGGAGCTTTATGTCGTCCCAGCTTCATTCGAACCCAATCGCGCACCCCGTCGTCGCTGAGATGGGTATACCTTCCACCCGCGGCGGCATTCGCATTCGTCGCTCGCTGGAGAAAGGCCGTGACCACTTCTCCATAGCGAGCGTGCTTGACGCCGACCACGATGCCTCTCTCGATGGCATCGTGCTCCACCAGTCTCTCTTCAATCTCAAGTGGGTAGATGTTCTCTCCTCCTGATACCGACGAAGGTGTTGACAAGTCAGTATTCGGGATCATCCACAGCACAGTACAGTACAGTAGAAGGACAGTGGCAAACAAAGCCACAACGATAAACTATAATCAACCACTCGCTGGGGAGGAGCGAGATGACGAGCTTACCTCGGATAATGATGTCCTTGAACCGGCCGGTGATGGTGCAGGTCCCGTCCTCGTGGAGAACGGCCTCGTCCCCCGTGTGCAGCCACAGCACGCCGTCGTCGTCGCGGATCATGACTTCAGCCGTCTTCTCCGCATTCCGCCAGTATCCGCGCTGTAGCTGGTACCCGGCAATACACAATTCGCCACGCTGGCCGATCGGTAGGATCTTGCCGTCACGGTCCACCACCTTGGCGTGAGCATGGGGCATCACCTTGCCGACCGTCGCCAGCTTCAGTTCGATCGGATCATCGTGGAATGCATTGAAACATGTCGGGGACGCCTCAGTCAGACCTTCGGATGGCGGATTAGTAACGCTCGTGCGTCAAGTGGGAGTCGCGGGGGAGGGGGAGGGGGAGGTCAGTATAAGTACCATAGCTGCTCGTGAACTCGGTCATTCCCAGCTCGTTGAAGAGAAGCTCCATCAAGTGCTTGGGTACGGGCGCCCCGGCAATGATGCCCGTCCTCAGTCGGTAGCAATCAAAGTCGTCGGGCCGCGGGAGGCTGAAGATGGAATCGAACATGGCTGGCACGCCATGGAGGCCGGTGCACTGCTCGTCGGAGACCGCCTTCAGGCAGGCAGCGGCGTCGAAGGTCTCGCTCGGGTACACGGCCTTGCCGCCGTGAGTGATGACGGCCAACAGCCCGAGAACAAGACCGAAGCAATGGAACAGGGGCGGTGCACAGCAGAGCACGTCGTCTTCCGTGAACGCCATCCGGTCCCCGATGAAGCGACTATTGTTGACAATCGAGCTGGTCCAGGGCCGGATGTCAGTGGTCAGGGGGTTGCGGCACGGATTAGACGGACGGCGTGCAGGCCTGGAAGAACTCACTGATGGGTCAGCATCGCCGCTTTGGGATTTCCCGTGGTGCCGCTGGTGAACTGAAGGTTGCAAACATCATGGGTGCTGAACTGTTGCGAGAGCTGGGCCAGAATATCGCCCGACTCCGCCGCTCCGCTCTCGACCAGGCTCGTATACGACGTGAATTGGCCGGGGTACCCCCGGAGGATGACAATTTCCTCCAAGGGCCCCGAATTCTCCGTCAGGCTGAGAAGAAGCCGCCGGTTGTCGTGATAGCTGATCCGGGTGGTGGTGAAGAGAATCCTGCACTCTGGCCCTCCTGATGATCAGCACGTTGCCCACACATACACACACTCCTGCTGACGTCCATAGACTCCACAGAGACGAGACTGACCGGTAAACTCCAGAGCATACCGCGCTTCGGAGGCAGTGTAGGTGTTGTTCAGAATGACCAGCACGCAACCAAGTCGCATGCAGGCGAAAAACACCGACACGTATTGCTCGCAGTTGCCCGCCATCAAGCCAACCCGGTCACCAGGACGAATGCCACGGGCAGCCAGAGCCCGGGCGAGCCAGACACTCTCCTGTCGCAGATGTTCGTAGGTCCATCTTGCCCCGGTCCATGGCACGACCAAGCACTCGTTGGACCCGTACTTGGTACACTGGAAGTCGAGCAGCTCTCCGAGTGTAAAGTCCACCAAGGGGACGTCGGCGCTGCCGTGGACAATGGACAGTGCTGGAGTTGGAGCCGGGAAGAGGACCGGGTCGCTGTTCGACTCCAATGCCATTATTGTCGATAAAGCCACGGTAACAAGTAAAGTGACTCTCTGCCTGGGGTCGCAGATATCGAGACATGCCCTCCGGCTGCTCCATCTCCAAAGTATTATATGTGTATCCACCTAGGGACAGACGGATAGACGTACAGGCCCCTTCAGGGCTCAAACTGGTGCGTGTCATTCCTGAGCTGCATCGAATCCACATGCGCGAAATTTCGCCATGTGCAGGCTGCAGTGCGATCCGATTTCGGTGGCAGGAGTGAAGCATGCCGAAAGCGCTGATCTCTGGGGGGTCGAGGTTGAGGGCTGCAACAACACTTCCAGTTCCTTGTCAACAGCCAAGAGCTGGGCATGTTTCCTAGCGTCGTAACGAGACAAGCTTGACGAGTGGTATGTACAGTACCCATCCGTATTGGAGTGGCGGTGGGACGGATCGTTTCGCTGGTCTAAGAAGGGACGGGATTTATACGTACTCCGTACTCCATACAGCCCCGTCGACGGCAGGCCCAAGATCGGTGGGTCCTGGGTCCGAACTACCAAACTGGCGTCCGGTCAGTAGAAAGAAGGATCAGGAGTCTGTACTCTGTAGTCTGTTGCCACGATCGAAGATGCTTCTAAAGGCCAAGGAGCGCCACATTAACGGAGGCTCGGCGGTGCATGTCATAGACTGAGGGACCTTCTTCCCGCTGGTTTCATGTGGTGGACGATATGTGCTTGTGTCCTCGAACAGCACCCAAGCAAGAGTTGGAGGTGATCCAGGGGTCTTACTCTGTAGGGTTCAGTGAACGTCCGAGTCCTGAGTCCCCACGATATTTCATTGGCCGGTGGCGTATGGTACTTGGTCCCGTAAATGTACAGTATAATATATAATAATTATCATAATCATGACAAGGGCTAAGGAGGCTCTCCTCTGCCCGGTCTCAGTGTGAGGCCGCCGGCATGCCCACCCCATTCAGGTCATCGGGGACCCTCTGGACCATAACCATAACTGGCGAAGCTCCTCAGGTCGGTGCCGGGACTTTGCGTTGCTGTTGCTGTTGCTGTTGCTGTTGCTGTTGCTGTTGCTGTTGCTGCATTACCTGGGTTCCCCATGGAGATAACCTCTAACTCGAGCAGGTGCGCATATTCTTGCAGACTGAGGCCAATGATGTTCAGGAATGGCCATTGCACGTTGCAACGGAACATCCTGGACCAGATGCAGAGAACATGTAACGCCAGTTCTCGGATCGGCAGCGCATTGACCAGCTCGGTCTTGTCCATGCTCTGATCATCGGCCTCGGTCGAGTCTTCGCTATCGCAGCATTCAAGCGCTTCTTTGACGACATACCTGACCCAGCGGATCATACGGCGTTCATTCTCTATGCAATGGCCTGGGTCAGCTTGGAACGCTCTCTCGTGAGTTGGAAAAGACGGCATTCTCGGCGCAGAAATACCACCCGCGAAAGAGTGAACGTGGACATAGCCAGCAGGATGGGATGGGACGGGATTTGTGGAATGGAATGCTCACTGCTGATTTCGGTCTCTGCTTGGGTCACATGGACGGCCATCAGCCATTTCGCCAGCAAGACGGCACACTCAAGGCTGGACAGCCCGTGCCGAATGCTCCAGAAGAAAGCCTGACTTCGACCCACGGACTCGATTCCTAACCGGACCGGGAGACTCAGGGCGTGGACGGCGTACAGAATGGCGGGTAAGATGCGATGCCCGCGGTGAACCGGAGGGGACTTGAAAAGACTGTTTGCAATATGCGACTTGTCCCGAGTCTCTAGGCCGCGATGGGGCCCGAGATGGAGATGTAAGCGGACGTAGGCGAGACCAAGAAGCGCGCTCGAGGTGAAAGGAATGGGCCCATTGGCATTGCGAGGATCGAGACTGGACTCGGGCGTTTTCTGCCACACGACCGTCCACGAGCGAAGGGCATATCTGGGCAGTTGTGTCAGCAAGTCATCCGCATCTACAGTCCCTATAGATAGTCCCGCTGTACGGCTTGCACTCACTCCATATGGTCAAAGTTACTCCGAGACATGGTTGTGATTTGGTCATCCGTGGGGTTGGAGATTTCCGATGCTAGTAATATTCTCTGCAGCAGGCCATGCAAAAGAACGTAGTTCCCAAACGGCGTGGTCATGGGCGTGGGCGGGCTGTCTGATTTGGACGTGTCGAAAAGGACGGCCAGCGCTGGTTGATAGTGCATTTGCTCAGAAACAATGTTCGCCCGGGCCGCCTTCCATTCCGCCTCAGTGCTGGCCTTCCACTCCGCGGTGGTGCAGGGCAGGCGGATGTTGAACTGGCTGCTCATTAGATAAGGAGGAACATTGTAGGCGATGCTGAGGGTTTCCAAGAAGGTGAACGCGACCAGCTGAGCGCGCCTCTCGCTTTCGGCCTGAGTCCAGTCTTTCCAGTTCAGATCGGGACCGGCGGCAGCTCCATGGCTGGTGGTCAACATTCCAATGTCTCGCAGACATTCAGCCACCACGCTCGCCAGCTGAAGACTTTCACGTAACAGAATCACTCCTTCCCACGCGCTGTAGCCCATGAGCGTGGTTGCAGCTGCCAAGCACTGGTGCAAATCCCTGGCTTCTTCCGGCGCAACCGGCGATGCGGTCTCATCCGAAGACAGCACGGCCGAGACGGTCTTGAACCGTTGGGCGCGACCACAATCGAGCCCCTGCGCGACCACAGACTTGGGAGAGGTGGCGGACCGGCGGATCCGGGCCTCTCTTTGCCTTCGCATTCGTTCTAACAGGATGGCTTTTCCGGCATAGAATAGTCGGTCGGCATTGCGATGCTCGAAGACGTACTGTGCCCCGGTAGCCGCGAAGGCGAGGATCGTATCGGGAGTGAAGTCCTCGATTCTGGCGGTAGGGACATGGACATGTGGAAGATGGCTGTGGAAGCCGTCAATGAAGGATGTGAGATATCTGGTCAGGCTGTGATGGGAGGGCAGATAGAACCCGGCTAGGACATCTCGGAACTCAGCCAGGCTGGATTCGAGCCAGGTTCGCTGCTCTCTAGTGACGTCGAAGAAGGGTGTCTGTGGAGGCCGCCGTTGACCGGAGGATACTACATGAACTCGTCAGCTTCAGGCGGGTTGGGGTGGGGGTGGGGTTAGCTGGTGTCCCTGCAGCTTACTCGGATCAGCGACATCTCTCATATTATGATCGGTTGGCGGAGGCGATGGCAGCCACGACCGGAACGGCGAGATCGGACGGCTTCTAGGGTCGATGTGGGCGGCATCGTCTGCAGCATCATCGGGCACGTCGTGGTCGTTGTGAGTGGGCGTTGTTTGAGGCTCTGCTTCTTCGGCTTCGGATGGCTCGTTCGGCACTGGGTCAAAGGTGACGAAGTCTGTCAACAGACCCATACTGTCCATGAAGTTGGCCAGCTGTTGCAAATGGGCCTGTTCGCCGGGAGAGGTGTTGAGAAGGGCGTCAAATTCTAATCCAAATCCAAACATTAGGCATCGGGTGACCGCAGGAGATGTGGCCGCACCTACCGAGATCCTGGAGCGAGCTATCCATCATGAGCGACGTAGGTGACGACATGTGCATGGTGTGCTCGGCAGTCGAGGTTGAGTACGGCGCAAGGAAGTGTGGATTGACCGTCGCACTATCCGGGCCCTGGTGGTGCTGGGGCTGGTGCTGTATGGAAGGTTGTGTCGCGTGGACGTTCAGAGCCTCCTCATGTACCTGGCCCGAATGGGGCTGGAGCCCCTCGATGGCTTGCCTGGTCGAGGTCGATGTGTATCTCTCAGGATGCGACAAGCGGATATGCCGCTTTAGAAGGTCTTGCCGCGCAAAAGGAGCGCCGCATTGACAGCGGAAAGGCTTCTCCTTGGTGTCTGTTCAACCAGGTCAGCATCCCTGCGATACGCCTGCCATACGGCATCGCAACCAAACCCTCTGCGGGACTAACGTGTTCTCAAGTGTCGATTGAGATGCTCGGAGCGCCGGAACACTCGGCCACATCGGTGGCAGGCGTGGTCCTTGACGGCGAGCTGGCCTCGGGAGCCGGAGCCATCATCGACGAAGTTGTCCCTGGTGGACCAGGTTGAGAAGAGAGACTGAGCCTGAGCCATGTCGGAGGAGGCGGGTTACAGGGCCATCACAGGGCCATCAGAGGGCCATGGATCCTGGATCCTGGATCCTGCTTGCAGGTGGTCGACGACGAGGTCAATCGATGGAATGCGTCGTCATGATGAATGAGCCTGCTCGATAGCCACAGATAAGGAAAGGAACAGGCAAAACAGGGCTGTCACGTGGGGTGGGGAGAGTCTTGAGCACCACGTGACTTCACATGGTCTCACGTGCCCGACCGGTCCACAGAATGGCTATCTCTCACCAATCAGAGCCCGACCACAGCCAATGGCTCATTCTAGTATCCGTCTTATTGCCACAGGCACCGGCACCACGGGTGCAAGGTCTCGTATGGATGGGTGCGCAGGGCGATAAGCCATGCATGGACTTGTCCGTGCAAAAGATCAGCCACCCCATGATGGGCATTTGGAGAGCAGATTCGACAGTGTGGAGGGGAGACTCTAGACCTTAGACTACACTAAGATACGAGATATAAATGGTTCCCTAATGAACAGCACAACACACAGCACAGTCCCTTTCAGACATTCCACGATCTACAACATTCTTGTTTCTTCTTGAGGCACTGATTCTGACTCAGACAGCCTCGGCCTCCACAAGATGGGCAAGAAACGTGTCTTGATCAGCTACGGCGTCGACGTCGATGCCGTCTCCGGCTGGCTGGGGTCATACGGGGGAGAGGATTCCGTCAGCGACATCAGTCGAGGTGAGTCAGGCTTGGTTGGCTCTGTGCCCGTGCGTGGCAGACGACAGGATGCGGCGAACTGAACTTGAATAACGCGTCACGCCTGTGCAGGGATTTTCGCCGGCACGGTGGGCACGCAGCGACTATTGTCCATGTTCGAAAAGCACCAGATCAAGACGACGTGGTTCATTCCAGGCCACTCGCTCGAGACGTTCCCCGAAGACATGGCGGCGGTTCGAGACGCCGGCCACGAGATCGGCTTACACGGCTACTCGCACGAAAACCCGTCGGACATGACGCTGGAGCAGCAGAAAGTGGTCTTGGACAAGACGTTCCGGCTTCTGACCGAGTTCGCGGGGAAGCCTCCCAAGGGAAGCGTGGCGCCCTGGTAAGTGTCCGCTCAGACATCAAAAAGCCCCTGAGCAGCCACGACTGACTGGGCCAAACCAAATCAGGTGGGAGACCAGTGCCGAAGGAGCTCAACTGCTCCTCGACTATGGCATCGAGTACGACCACAGTCTCTCACACCATGACTGCCAGGCATATTGGCTGCGCACCGGCGACACCTGGACCAAGATCGACTACAGCAAACACCCGGACCACTGGATGAAGCCGTTGGTCAAGGGCCGGGAGACAGGTCTGGTCGAGATCCCTGGCAACTGGTACATCGACGACCTGCCACCCATGATGTTCATCAAGAACTCCCCCAACAGTCATGGATTCGTCAACCCTCGCGACATCGAGGACATCTGGCGGGACCACTTCGACTACATGTACCGCGAGTACGACGAGTTTATCTTTCCCATCACGATCCATCCAGACGTCTCCGGTCGACCACATGTGATTCTGATGCATGAGAGGTAAGCACTCGTCCTTCTCCTCCCTACGAGTACCAGCACGAGAACGAGAACGAGTACTATTGCTTGTTTGTTTGTTTGGGTGTGGGCTAAAGCTAACTGACACGCCGTCTTCTCACGCAGACTGATTTCCCATTTCAAAAAGCACGAGGGCGTCGAGTTTGTGCCCATGGTGGAGGTGTCGAATGAATTCAAGCGAAAGAACCGATATCCTGAGGGCGCCTACCTTCCACAAGACCCAGCAGAGATCCTGAAAAGAGAACCACTCTCCAAGTGAGGCAGCCGTAAAGGTAAAGCCCGATTGAAGGGGGGACCACAAGAGACGCTTGTCATGACGATTCTGGTTCTCGTTATGCTACGGCCATAGGGGGAACCTAGTTTCTGGTAGATACGAGATATGTATGCAAGGCTATTTCTCATATTACATTTGATGTACAATGTCATGACTCAACCCACTAATAAACGGGATTTCAATTTCCATTTTCTTCGAGACCAGTCGGCCATCCTTCTTTTCCGACGCTGACGCTGCAGGATTTGGACCTTGTTCTCGTCTCGCAGCCAGACCACGATAATCACAATCACCTGCAAGGATTCTGTTCTGCCAGAATCAGGATGCTGCGGGAACCAGACCATCCCCCCACGGCCAAGTGCTGATTGCTCTGCTTCGTAGTCGTACTCCATTCCCACCTCCACCTCCAAATTCCCTCTTTGGGACACCCCGTCGACCCCGAGACCCCGACTCCTTATCAACGGACATGGGCGCCTGCACCTCTTGTTGATACTGGCAGTATGGCTTGAGACAAGCTTTTAATGTGATAGGTACTGAAGAGTGACTGCGGTAGGATTCGTGCAATCCTAGGCCCCTGCTGAGTCAAGTCACACCTTCCAAAAAGCATGACCCTCTAGAAGCTTGACCTTCCCGTTGGGGAGAGGTCTGGTTTCGCCTCCTGAGGCCGTCCACGACATCTCAAGGGTCGTGAACAGGCAAAGACGACAGACAAGCATCGCGGTTCACTTTCTAGGTAGGTGGGTGACAGCATGTATAGTGCGAGCTCGAACTCGTCCTCATCATACTGTAGAGTAGAGAGTAGACCAAATTATATTATCCAGGGAGTCTAAGTCTTAAGAATGGGCCAATCTATCTATATCTACGGATATGCATGTCTTTTAATGCCTGCTTTTTCGAAGCCAGAAGCGAACCGCCATCCATTACAGGTGCAGTGGCCCTGGTTGAGATGAGCCCGAACTCTGAGCCGGAGACTGACACTGCTGCCCGACTTGAAAGAAGGCGGCGGCCTTCAGGACCATCTTTTCGTCCCATCGCCGTCCGATAATCTGCATTCCCACGGGTAGAAAATGGCCGGTCTTGAGATCCTTTTCAAAGCCGCAGGGAACATTCAGGGCCGGATGGCCGGTGACGTTGAAAGGACAAGTATTGCTGCTCAGCCCAATGGCTGGGTTGATTCTCTCCATGATCCCCGTGCGCTTTCCGTCGCGTTGGAGCTCCGGATGTGGCGAGGCCAGGCCAATGGTGGTCGGGGTGACCAGGACGTCAACGTGGCGCAAGGCCTCGTCGTACGCGTGCCGCAGTTGGAACACCTTCCGATGGGCCTTGGCCTCGACTCCGGGGCCGTACCTATCCTTGAGGAAGGCGCCGCTGAAGACGAGGTTCATGACGGTCGGGTTGGTGTCCGACAGCGTCTCGTACATGTCCTGGTTGGGGGGCCATTGCAACTTCATATGAGGAGGTTGGTGAGTGAGGTAGCCTGGGGTCTGCGCAGCGACGGCCCAGTCCGCCATGGTGGCGCGAGTTGATGCCGTCCAGATCAAAGGCCCGTCGGAGTGAAGAGGAACCGACACCTCGACAACGCGCACCCCTGTCTTCTCAAAGGCTTGCTTGGCCGTCTCGTAAACGTGTTGAGCGACGACGGGGTCCATGCCTGGAACGTGGAAAGATTCCTTGAGCAGCCCGACGGTGAAGGAAGGCAACGGCTGCCGTTGTGATGCTGGTGATGGTGACTGGGCCTGGGCCTCAGCAAAGGATTCGCGAAGGAGGGCTGGGTAGTCGAGCACATTCTCTCTCAAGGGTGCTTCCGCCGTCATTCGAGCGTCGAGGCCGTCGTATCCTGCCAATACCTGCAGCAACAGTGCAATGTCTTGCAGGCTGTTGGCCAGGGGCCCGACATGGTCCACCATAGGCGACAGAGGCATGACTCCGGTGTAAGGGATCAGACCATGCGTGGCTTTCAGGCCATAGCACCCGTTGTAGGCTGCCGGGAGTCTAATGCTGCCCCCCTGGTCACCGCCGATGGCCAAGTCCACCCTCTCGCCAAAATGAGTGCCCTGGAGCTTCGATACCAGATTCGCTCCTATCAGCGCGCCGCTGCCGCTACTACTACCGCCAGCGTTGTAGCCATGCGCCCAGGGGTTCTGGACCGGGCCGCCGAAAGAGGTGGACGAGAGAGTGGAAGCTGAATAGGTCTCGCACGTCGTTGTTCCCTTGACCGTCGCCCCAGCATTCAGCACCCTGGAAACAACGCTCGCATCGATGGTCGATATCGGGTAATTGTCGCCTTCGCCTTCGTTGGACACGAGGCCAGAGCGGGTTCCGAGGGTGGTAGGCAGGCCTCCTACACAAATGTTGTCCTTGAAGGCAACCGAGCGCCCAGCCAGCAGACTGGTCTCCGGGTTCGCCGCTCTCAGATCGCAACGATGGCTCCAAGCATTCAGAACGTTGTCCTCCTGCCGCGGTCGCCAAAAGGTCCGCTCCGAGACAGTCGCGGTCGGGACCAGGGATGGCACGATATAGTCATCCACGGTCTCGAAGTATTCGTAAATGGCTTCTGCCGACTGGAGCAGAGTCAAGTAGGCATCTTCGTCTGAGCCCGATTGGAGCTTGATGTCGAACGTGGCCGCCAGGGACCTCAGGTCTTGGACGGTGATGTGCGACCTGTGGACAATCAGCAGGATTCCCAGACATCACAAGAGGATAGTGACTAGGACGACTTACTGGAAATCGCTATTGGGCAAGGCAACCGTCGACATGATAGCGATAACTCGGCTGGTTGAGATTTGACCAAGAGATACCAAGAGATACCACTCCGTGGAAGAAGAACAAAGGATATTCCTGAACAGTGCCCTGTCTAGTCTTGTCTAGTCTAGTCTAGTATGACAGTAACGTGCACACATCTGGACCAGCACATGCATCTCGGAGGATCCCTTGGGGTCAGGAGGGGGAGTGTCAGGCTCGGAGGGTCCAGGGGCTAAGGCCGGAATACGCCACGCCAATCCCCAACCCCAACTACAGAGATACTTACTGTACTGTACACACCAGGCTAAGGAGCCCACAGTGTGGAATGTGGACTGTGGAGTGTGGACACGGATCCCCATCTCGGATTCTAGTACACTCCAACCTTTGGTCAACAGAATATGTGAGTATAGTCATTGTCACCTTCAACTGTAGGCATATGCTTCGAAATATATAATGTATGCTGACCTGTGAACCGAGTAGACTTCTGTCTTGTTTCTAGACCTGTCAACACCTACTTTACCAGCAAAGCTCATTCTTAAAACTCCCAAACTCTCTGCACCACCCTGGCTGCTGACTCACTTGGACAAAGAGAAACAAACCTGCCATGTCGATATCGACAGGGGCCAAGCCTCTTGTGCTCCATGCTCACGCACGAGGGCCGAATCCGATCAAGATCGCAATAGCAATGGAAGCCTTGGGCGTCAACTACGTGGTGCATTTCTGGGAGTTTGGAGACGATGCCGCACACGGCGTGAAGGGCGAGAAGTTCCGCAAGCTCAACCCAAACGGCCGCGTTCCTGCCCTAGAAGACCCCCGGACGGGCGTGGTGTCCTGGGAGTCCGGGGCTTGCATGAACTACATCCGGCGCGTCTACGACCAGGAGGGGAAACTCGGTCCGGTCAGTCAGACGGAGCAGGACCGAGTGGATTTCGAGAAATGGGAATACTTCCTGCTGACCACCTTGGGTCCTATGACGGGGCAGACGAACTGGTACCGGTAAGTCAGTTGAGACGAGAGACCCCAGAACCCGTGCACGACCAGCAAGAAGAAGAAAAAGGAGAAGGGTGAGGATACAGAGTTGTCTGACAGATGAGTCGCAGCCACTACAACCCAGTGCCGAACGACGATGCCTTGAATCGCTACAGGCAGCAAACATTACTATACTACGACGTGCTTGAATACCAGCTGAGCAGGACCGGGGGGACGTCCATCCTGCCTGGCCGGGTCACTGCGGTGGACTACCATTACGAACCGTGGGTGCGACAGCATGGATTCGCAGGCCTGAGCCTTACTCGACACCCCAACATCGAAAAGTGGTTGGACACAATGGGAGCGAGAGATGAAGTGAGAGCCGCCTACAGGAAAATCATGGACTCTGAACCACCGAAATACTCTTGAGACTGCGGGAACGGAACGCGAGGTCTTCGTCAGTCTTGAACACAACAACTCTGGCGAGCTGTCTCTGTTCCTCGCCTTGTTTGACGGCCCGCTACGAAGGGCTCAAGTATTGTCCGGTCTAGAGTAGGCCGGAAGGGGCATGCACACTCCAGCTGGTGACTTGCCTGGTTCCAGTACTACGTGCTATTGGCCGGCATATCCGACCACAACTATAACGACCGATACGGCTGACACCTTGAGAGAACCCTAAGACGACTCTTTCATGGTCACGAAAGATGTAACATGATACCGAATCATAAGGACACAAGCACTTGCGTTTAGTACGGGCGTTTGGCCAGACATCTCAGCATAAGACTTCACTGTATCCTCTCGTAGAAAAGGACTTCAGAGTGCAGAATATTGTTATGCATCAATATCATTATCCATACTACTTTATCACTTGAAGAATCGCCCAAGAACGTTCGTTAGTGGACGACCAAATCAGTCTATGTGAGGGACGTTGGTCCTAAACTACGTGGCCGAGGCTTCCGGGGACCAGAGAAAGGGACCAGGGACCAGCACTTCTGCTTCTGTACAGACTTCGACTCTGAGTAAGTTGATTGAGTGGAGACGATAACTCAACCCACTTGACCAGTGCCTGGTCCATGTGGACGCCTAGAGTACAGTATCTTGCCGCCTTCACAAGATCCGAAGGCCAAGGGGGCCCCAGCCTGAGCCCCGAATTTCCACATCCGGGAATTTGGAGCATGTCAGCAGAATCCATGGCTCATTGCTCAAGCGTGATCTAATACCAGTAGTAAAGTATCTGACCACAGAGATTCCAAGGTTCTTATCTTTTCCATCTTGTAGGCCGTCATCCTCATGTCTATTGTAAGCTACGGCAAGCTACGGCAATGGCAACGGCATGGTTCACTCTTCCAATTACGATAAGAGCGTGTTGGGCCGAGAAGTACAGGACAGCCGAGCCACCGGCATCATAGATTATCATTGCTGAGTGTGACCGTCTCGACACCAGTGACGGTTCCAAATCCAGTCATCAGACAGGAAGTTTCTACTCTGTACATGTACTGTATCTGTATGGGTTCGCATATCTCGTCAGAGGAATGCCGTTGGGTGGCAAGTGACTTGGTGCCAAACCGCGCATGTCAGTCGGCGTGAGAAGGCTGAATCAGAAGTAGAATGTGGTTACGTATCGTGCTACTGATGGAGTAAAGAATGAAGAATGAAGATACAGCTTTGCGTCCGAAGAAGTCGCAAGTGTCATAGGATTGCATCAAAGCTATAGAGATCACAGCTTCCGCTTCGTATCCGCATCCGCATCCGAATCACCTTCCCAAAATCATAGACCATACATAATCTAAGATAGCCTTCTCTATAACAGGCTCTGGATCGATCCCGTCAGTCCGTCTCCAGGTCTAGTTCAACACGGTGCCACTGTTGTCGGCGCAGTCAAAGGCCGAGCCAATTTGTCCAGAGGCATAGGCGTCGATGATCGACTGTATCACAGCATAGGTTCCCCCGATAGTGACAAAAAGACCCAGCGCAATCAGGAACACGTGGAAGGCGTACAGGGTTTTCTGCCACAGGGTCCCCTTCCAATAGTGAGGGTGGTCGTAGCACCAAAGGTAGCCGGGAAGCGAGATGGCCACCGGGGCGAAGCAGAACGTGCCCGCGAGACCCAGAAGATAGTTGAAGATGGGGACGCCTGAGGCAATGAGGAAGCCGGCAATGGAGATTCCAATGGTGCAGCCGAGCCATGTTCCCCAGTGCACGACCGTATTGGCCTGCAAGTGGCGAGTATTGCGCAGGATGCGCACGAATATGTATTTGGCGCCAATGTGCACATACAGACAAGCCGAAACGGCCAGGCCGATGATGCCGACGCCGTAAGCGGCCTTCTTGAGGGTAGGGCCCGCGGATCCAAGCGAAGGGGTGGCCACCCACTTGCCGCACCACTTGTACACCACCAAGGAGAAGGCGAGGTATGCAGAGGTGACAAGGGCCATGCACACGCACACCGCCTTGTTGTAGTCTTGTGGCCGCTTCATTTCAGAGATGACAGGCAAGAAGGCGGCGGTCGCCGCGCTGGAGACGAAGATGGACGCCACGGCGGTCATGGCTGCAACGAATGTCGGGTGTGCGATGACATGATAGCCGAGATCGAACGGACCCGTCTGGGGTGCGATGGCTGGACGGTCTCGAGTGGTGACGCCGACGACGATGATCATGACGGCGGTGAAGACCGAGATAAATCCCACCCAGGTCAACCATGCCACCTTCTCAAACTTTCTCACACTGGCAAAGATGGCGACGATGACGGTGGCCACGAACGAGAACCATTGGGTGCAGAGCGAATGGTTGGACAAGGCGTTCAAGGCGGCCGACACTCCGAGGATGCCGGAGCCTGCACAGATCACGTATGCAGCAATGAAGAGGAATCCAACGATCTCCCTCACAATGGGACCTCCCACAAGCTGAGCCATGTCGGCAATACTGTGGCAGCCGGCGTGACGATTGCGGAAATTGCCCTGGACAATGGCAAGGTAGCCATTGAGTATAGTCCAGCCGAGGATGTTGATCGCCCCTGGAAACGAACCCAGAGTGTACATGGATGTGGGGATGGAAAGGACACCGGTGGCGAAGATGACTGTTCGTCTGGTCAGTACGATATGTCATGTGGCAAAGGTTATGTTCCCAACTCACTCTTCAGGAAAATCATAGATGCATGGTACCAGGTGACGGTTCGAAACTCGACCACGCCTTCTCCTTTCTTGAACACCTCGAACTCGTTCTCGGCAAGGTCAGCCTTCTCCACGGTGCCAACCATCTCCTCAGACGGGACACGTCTGACTTCGTCCGAGGACATCTTGTGTCCGTCCATGTTTTGTGAGTGGAGTGGTTGACCAGGGGCCTCGTGGTTCAACGAAGCCTAGGTGGAATGGAAGTGGCCGATTTGCGTCCGGTGTCGAGGGAAAAGAGATCGCTATATAATTTTACCAGGCCTCACGGCAAGGTTTCAAAGACTGGTGGCAATTGGAGACCACAGACCATATGGGTCAATTCGGGGCCGCCAGATTGCAGGCTGTATCAGCATTGGCCATAGATAAATCAGTCTCGATCGTCTTCACACCGCTCTCCACCGCCTGGGGAGGAATTCCCCGATTGAGACGGACATGATAAGTCGCTGACCTCTTCTGCGATCAACACCCGGTGTGTACAGGATGTGCCAGGTGCCTGTATACTATGGATTAGAACCATATCTTGCGGCCTCCGTTCCAGGGTACGCCGTAGACCATCCTGATGAGGCCGGGCAAATGAGATTCGAGATTTCAGTTGGAGGCTCCACTCCCTACGGGCCCCCAGTCGAAGACGTGGATTTGTGCGCCCGATAAGTCTGCATGGCGGCGGGCAGAGTCCCTTGGGCGTATGTCGGCGGGGCAGTTGGAGACCTCAAATGTCCAATTGTGGACTAGGGGCCCAGGGATCAGTATCGCCGCCCCAGGTGATGGGCATTGATGATGACAGTGCGTGGTATGTCAATCATCCCACACCTGTTGCTCAACGTGCTGCGGGACGAGGTCCACTTCCACTGCAAACACATGGCTGTCCGAGCAACTGGTAGAAGACCTGGTATCCGTAGGCAAGATTGACTTGAACAAGCCCCCGGCCACGAGCATTCGTCAATCGCTGCGACAACATTGTCACCTGGCTATCGCTCCCACGTGAGGTATGGCGCCGCCTACGTTGTTTCCAGGAGTGGCTGTCATCACGGGCGCTGGCGGTGTCGGTAGGTCAAGCCCATCCATGCACCAGATTCGGTCGCTGAGCAAGATATAGGCATTGGCGCACACGTTGCCCTCGCCTTTGCCGCTGAGGGCTGTTCAAGGATCGCCATCACCGACCTCAGCACCACCCTGCTCCAGCAAACCGTGGAAAGCATCCAGGCAACCCGCCCAGGAGTCGAGGTCTTTTCTGAACCAGGCGACATCACCGACGCCGACTTTGTCGGTACGTTCATGAAGCGGGTGGTGGAGAAATTCCATCGCATCGACTACGCCGTCAACTGTGCTGGGATTCTGGGCAAGGACCAGCGGTCAGACGAGATGGACCTGGCGTCGTTTGATGCAATCAACAGTGTCAACTATCGGGGCTGCTGGCTGTCGTCCAGAGCCGAACTTCAAGCCATGCTGAAGCAGGAGCCATTGCCCGGGTTGAGTGCATCTCGGCCAGCCCAGCGAGGCGCCATCGTCAACATAGCGAGCCAGCTAGGGATCGTCAGTCGTCCCAAAGCACGTAAGTGAAGCCCCCATGGCCCTGTCCCTGTCCCTTTCCAATATCCAGGCTAACATTCTCTGCAGCCGCCTACTGCGCCTCCAAGTCGGCCGTAATTGGCATGACCAGGGCAGACGCCATAGACTATTCCACAGACAACATCCGGATCAACTGTGTCTGCCCCGGCGTGATCAAAACCGCCATGACGACGGGAACGGAGGAGGTTGCCGAAAGACTTGCTCCTGCGGTTCGAATCGCGCCTATGCAGCGGATGGGCTTACCAGAAGAAGTGGCCGATGCTGTTCTCTTTCTGTGCTCTCCTAAAGCATCCTTTGTGCAAGGGCACGCCCTGGTGGTGGACGGTGGATACATCATCAACTAGAAACTGCCATGAGACGATTCCATACCGGCTATTGAGACTCCAATGCTCGACCGTTGTGCAGTCGGCGGGCGTTTGAATAGTACTGGTCGACCGTACTTGGTATATCTCACCCTCGTCCCCTTTCCCTCCTCTCTCTTCTTTCCAGTAAGTGCGTTGTAATATTCTGAAAGGGTTTGCATAGTGGCTATACATAACACATTTAAACGCCAATCATTCAGTCTTCTCCCACTGTTTAGAAACACTTTATAGTGGCTTAGTGCAAAAGTGCACCGACTCTTGAATTCCATGTGCTAGCCTAATGTTATTGTAACAACTGGCAGAAACAACCTCTAGGGGATTTGAGCGTGAGAGACCATCCACATTCCATGATGCAATGTGCGAATACACTGCTACGGCATTTGACGCTTACCCCATTGCGTTGGGGTTGTCCGCCTAAGATATCTCGTCAAAGAAATCACACTATGGCATACAATGATAGCTATCAGCAAATCGAGGAGGGAACACTGCCCCTATTTCATCAGAAGCGCTACTACCCAGTCAAAATTGGCAATATCTCCAAACAACGTTATCGAATTATTGCAAAGCTGGGGTACGGAGCGTATTCCACCGTTTGGCTCGCTCGAGATGAGATGTTAGTTACCAAGCGTCTTTATGGGTGTTAACTGATTTCTGCGTAGATCGAAGCATTTATTTCACTAAAGATCTGCATTCAAGATGGAACGGAGACATCGCCAGTTCTCAATGAAGTTGCTATGCTAAGGCGCTTGAGTGAATTTGCTAGAGAAACTGATCATCCGGGCCTAGACTTCACACGTCTTGCCCTTGACATCTTCGAGATTGATGGGCCTCATGGCCGTCCTTGTTGTATTGCGACTAAACCACAAGGAAGTAGCCTTCGCGCATTACAGGAAATTCTTCCCGATGCAATCCTCCCGAGGATGATGGTAAAATCTTTGGTACACCGTCTGTGGTTTTCTGTGAATTGGCTGCACGCAACATGTGGCGTCGTGCATACTGGTATACTCAGCAGCTGATTTACTAAAAGACTATCCACTAACTACACCGCAGACATTTCTCCTCAAAATGTCCTAACAGCGGCTAGTGACGAAATCATCTTCAAAAACATTGAGGAACAAGAGTCGCAAGACCCGGGCACACCAATCATGAATGACGGAGTTCCCATTTACAGGTCTCGATCTTCGATTGTTGAACTTTCGGGCATCCCTATCCTCACTGATTTTGGCCAAATGCGATTAGCGGATCCGATGAGTAATGACTGGTGGATGCCAGATTTATATCGAGCCCCGGAGGTGCTCTTGAAGCTTCCTTGGGCGTTCCCGGTCGACGTTTGGTCAGTGGGTGTCATGGTAGGCAGAAAAGCAAAGATTCAAAGGCCGTGACCTCGTACTAACCACTTATCATCAGACCCTCAAGCTTCTGGAAAGGAGAAATCTCTTTGATCCTATTGATCGTGAACACAATCAATACGTTCTCCCGTTAGCACTCTCGCAGTATATCGGTTATCTTGGCCCTCCACCGCTGGAGATGATCAAACGAAGCCCGCTTTTCCGGACATATTTTGACCAAGACGGTAAGTTTTAGTGCTTCGTACTAATGACTGTCTATATCTTGTGCGAGACAACTAACATTTGATGACAACAGGCAATTGGATATCGGAACCCCCAATTCCTGAAACATCCTTAGAGAATTTTCTCACCACTGTTCCTCCCGGAGAAGAAAAAGAGATGCTTCTAAAGTTCATACGAAAGATATTGACTTGGGATCCGGAAGTGAGAGCAACATCTTCAGAGATCCTCGAAGATGAATGGCTTATGAGGCCCGTGGACGACATAATGTGATGTATCAGTCTCGAAAGTGAGTCGCTGTCAATGATTGAAGATGCATCCCGACCTAAGTGTGACCAGGCCATAGACCAACACGACAGCATCCTGCAGCCAGCCGAGTGGGATTTCATGTCGTAAGCCCCTAACTTACCCTGACCATCAAGCTTTGGGACCCGTTCGACTCTTCCTCCTGCGGTCACGTCTGCCTGCGCGATGCTGTGGCATATTTCGCCCGACAACGTTGGCAGGAGACACTAGACTTTATTGGTCTACTTGAGACAGCCTCTCAAGCTCCCGAATCGTCCAGTCGAACACATTGTCATGCTCGAAACGTCTTCGGTGAAAGAGTCTACTAAGATAGTTCGTGCCTATCTGCTATTGAGACTCTAATGCTCGACCGTTGTACTTTCTGCGTGCATTTGCAGAGTACTGGTCGACCGTACCTGGTATATCTCTTGGCGAGCATCTGGTGATACTACATGTGTACATGTGTATACTATAGTTATCACCGACCTCTGCATCTGTGATGTTTACTAAGTTGTCCCTGAACGCGACTGTGCAGTTCTTTGTGTCGCAGTCACCACAACCACCACAATAGACAAAAGAAATTTAGCGCCTTCCACGCACAAGATGGACGACAGTGAGAGTTGTATCCTGGTTGGATACTCACAGCAAGACACCCCTCCTCCTGGTGATGTTGGCGCTCCCCCAGAATCTGACGAGATCAGCGACATCATGCGTGAAGTCGAGAATCTCCGAGCTGGTCGAGGGGACGTCACGCCTCAGCCTCACCTAACATTCCCCTTGTCTCCAAACAACTTGAAAGTCCTTGAGGAGAAGTTTCGAGACGACTGGTTTTGGAACGAGAAACTACAGTGAGGATTCCGCTTCTAAACTGACCCGAGTCTGTTTTCGCTGACGTCCGCGAATTGTAGCTGGGAATATTCTGGCTTGACGGCCGAATTTGTCATCAAGATGCTATCGCAACCCCAGCAGGTCGTCGTCTCGAGTGTCGGTTTCAACATCGAAAGCCAGTTCGAAGTCTTCCGCTCCGCAAGTGATGACAAGGTCGCAAAATTCGGACAAGACTTTTATGGAATAGGCAGTTCCCACGTGAAACCGTGCTACGAAGGCCTACTAAGCAAACGCTGTCCCGACTTATCCTGGGCACACTGGGGTCACTCCTTCTATCCGGGCCTCGTGATCGAGGTAGGCTACTCGCAGACACGCAAATCGATGGAAAATCGCGTGTTCGATTATTTCTACGGGTCAAAAGGAAAGATCAAGATTGTGATCAGCATTGATCTAAAACCCTCAAAGAAGTCGAAGAAAGCCTCTATTGAGATGTGGAAGTCATCAGTTCGACGACAGGGCACCAAACTAGAGATCGATTACAAATTGCATGCAACATCGGTAAGCTTGGCTCTAGATCTTGGTATTGTGGTTTACTAATTGACCCTACATTCAGGATTTTCGAAATGATGATGGATCCCCAAACCTCGATTCTGGCGTCAGGTTCACTTTGCAGGAAATTGCGCCAGATGCTCCAGGCGCGGAGGGAGTTGGGAATTGTTTCATGGAAATCACGGGCAATAAACTCTACGAGGCCTTGTGTCGTGGCGAGAAATCTCTGGCTGCCGAGGAAAGAGGACTGAAAGAGGCACAAAGCATCGAAATTGCGCCTCCCCGCCACTTGACACTCGGTCGTGCAGAGGTCATGGAGCAATATCCTGATCTCGACTATCAGTATGATTAGCATTGATGAGGGCAACATGGAATGCTCTCGACGACCTGTATGATTAGCATTGATGAGGGCAATTGGGCACGCTCTCGACGATCTGTATGATTAGAATCGAATAGATGGCAGTCGATCAGAACGATTACGAGGGCAAGGATCGGTCGGCATGCTATCATCGCTTCAACTTCTTTCCAACCAAGGCCATCCTGGCCCTGGCCAGAGTACCAATTCAATTCATGAATGAGGTTAGTAGTAGTAGTAAACATAAGGTAGGCACGGTGGAGTCTTTTCTGTCAGTCTGGAATCTGAACTACTACTCGTACGTATACATGTAGGTAAGGTACCTAGTACGTAGTCGTCCATTAGGCGGTTCGGAAGGTTCGGAATCCTAAGCCTTAGGCCCCCTAGCCCTAATTAGGCCTTGGTGACAGGGGCATCTGGCCTATAAGCCTGCGAATCCATGCCCAAGCCTGTGATGCTCACCACTGGCACCCCAGATTTCCGTTGGCTAAGGCTAAGGCTCCCCGCAATAATGTCCCGCTCGCGCTCCCGCCCCCATCACGAATAAGGTAGCTGTTCTCGCTGAGCCATGGCCATGATCGACCAGCTGCGACCCTTAAAGTTGCCATTAATCAGGTGATGAGTGATGAGACAGGACACAACCCCTCATGTACGGGATAACAGGGACAAGTCTGGTCTGCGTGCTGTGAGCCACAGAGGCCAAATGACTTCACCACCCTTCAAAGCTGCCTGCCAGCTACCAGGAACCGTCCATTACACATCTACATCTCAGACCACGCCAGATCTTTGGCTCGTCCTACTATTTAGCATCATGGCAGCACGTTCTCTCCTGCTCAGTCTGGCCTCAGCCTCCAGGGCTGGGCTTTTGAATCTCCCACAGCGAACGCTTCCTCGACGACACCTTCATCTGTCTGCGGCCAACTCTGCGCCCAGCGTGGCAAATTCTACGCCTGGCTCTGGGGGCCAGGTTTTCCACCAGCCACCACCGGCATCAGCTGTTCCAGGCCAGACCGATGATCTCAACGATAGTAAACACGCCGCATTCCTGGGGGAAGCGGACAGCAATGACGGCTTGGAAGCATATCGAGACAGCTACGGGGCTCCTCCTCCGGCACTAGACGCCAAAAATGCAGCGTTCTTGGGCGAGGCCGACTCTGACGATGCCTTTGAAGCACAGCGAGCGGTAGAAGGGGACAGGCATGAGCCTTTGGACCCCAAAAACGCGGCGTTCTTGGGCGAGGCCGATTCGGATGATGCCTTCGAGGCAACGAAGGCAGTGGAAGGAGACAAACATGAACCTCTGAATGCTCATAATGCGGCATTCTTGGGAGAGGCTGATAGCGATGATGCTTTCGAGGCAGACGTGGAGCTTCATCCGGAAAAACACCGCCATAAAATTGAAGATACATCTCCAAGTGGCTTGCATGGGCAAGGAGGTGAGCAAGACCAGTGAGTGAAGGAGCTTCATGAGAGTGAAGTGTCACGTGCTCTGAACACCCGCTGGGGGTCATTGATATTCCATCTGTATTTGACAAAACATTGAATGTATACAAAGTGCCATATGATCAGACAGTGTTGAAAAGGGTCGCCTCTTGTTGAAGTTAAGATCGTTCTCAGGCGCTGGCCGTTCATTCCTTTTCGAAATTGTCATAGTCTTCTTTAGACATGAGGCTTTCCAGCTCCGCTGCATCGCTCACCTCGATCTTTGCCAGCCAACCATCCGCTTCCGGACTCTTGTTGATTGTGGCCGGCTTCTCCTCCAACACTTTGTTGTGGTCTGTGATCTTCCCCGACACGGGCGTCAGGATATCCGAGGCCGACTTGACCGATTCCACCGCGCCGATAGTATCTCCTTTGGCCACCTCAATCCCTATCTCCGGGAGCTCGACATAGACGACATCGCCCAGCGCTTTGGCCGCGTATTCGGTAATCCCAATGGTACCTGCAGACTGCGTGAGCAAGTCTGTATGAGTAAGAGGGACTGCCATTAAACCATACCGGTTTTGCCGTCTGCATCCAATTCGATCCACTCATGGTCTTCTGTGTATTTCTTGACGTAGGCTAGGAGTTATGGTCAGTCTCAGTTTAACACCCATCTCATTCGGTATCACGTACAGGCCCACCCGGAGGAAAAAGACCGTTTGGGGATGCGTGTCCATTGGAAGATGTGTGCTGGGCGTGAACTTGCAAGCGTTCGGCTGGTTAATCGAGAGGCGGTTGGCAGCAACCGGCTCAATACTGGAGTGCTCATGGTTCTACTTTGTCTAGTGGTCAACTGTTGGAAAGGAATTAAAAAGAGCGCGCAAAATGGTCGAACAATTCAAGAGCGTGGAAAAGGGCCATCTCCGCAGATGAGCGCAGCTGAACTGCGGCAGGTGCACGGCGACAAATCCGTCGCGCACAAGTGACACGGCCGAATAGCGAGACCCGTGATCTGCTCCACCGTATCCGTACTTCGTTCTGTCTTTTCCATGCGCAAGAGCTTGATTCCGTTCCTCACCAGTTGATCATCGCCGATTGATTCCAACGAGGCGACAACAATGCTCTACGAACTGGTAGCGGTGGTACGTTATCATCTAGGTGCCGTAGTCTTATCCCTCTTGTTTATTGACACTTCACAGGTCCGCCCGGGCAACCTCTCTCATGTCAAAGAGTAATGACTCCCAGTCCATTCCATTACCGCAACGACCCTCCTCTAATGGTTCTCTAGGATCGCTCGAGTTGCCGGCCAGCAGATTCTCGACAACAAAGGCGTGATACGCGGTATCAAGAACTGGGGACAATTCGACCTTCCGCGCCCGACCACAAAGCATCAAACCCAGCACCATCAGGGACACTACTTTGTCATGCAGTTTGACGCACCCGTCAAGGTTCAGCAAGAAGTCCGGCGGTTGTTGAGTCTCGATCCCCGTATGATTCGATATTCTGTAGTCAAGATTGGCGACAAACTCGGCGGCGTCAATGGCGCAATTGAGGAAGTGACGGGCGATATACCATGGAACTCGGCGTCACAAAGCGCAGATGGCTTGTCGCGGGGGCTTTTCGAACCCAAGTGGGTGAGAGGATTCCCATAGTGATCACGGCGGAACTACGCAGGGTCTGAACGCGAAGAATGCGAGGGGAGCACAAACGGTAGTACATCTATCAAACACCCGGGACGCCCGCTGCATTATGGTATCATCAAAACAAACTCCACCGCCCTCTCTCTTTCACCGCGGGCGGCAACTGGGAGTGCTGCTTCACCCGACCCTCCAATTGACGCAGACTCTCGATCTTCTGCAATACCATTTCCAACATATCCTTACGTTTGATAAGGTCAAGATGTTTGCGCACTTTGGGGTCTTCCCGCGCGAACCGCTCGATCTCGGCGTGATCGAGATGGCGGCCAAGCCGGATGTCCAGCTCGCGTGGGAAGTTGTAATAAAACTCGGAAAGGAGCTCGACGTTGAGGAAGAGTACCGCAGTGGAAGTTAACTTGTCGGCAACCACATCGAGGAACACCTCGGGACAATAGTACTTGTTCTTCGGGTTGGCACACTGTTTGGCCTTGACTGCCATCAGTCGCATCTTGATGAGGTCGGCTCGGTCTCGAAGGAAGGATGCTTCTCGTCCTGTGTATATTAAATTAGGTGAATCCAAGAAAGTCACAACCTCGAGGCACATACCTTTTTGCAAGAGGTCTGCTGAGAAGCCTCCCGCACCGCCAGTGCCGTTGCCTTCAAGAACAACATCCCCCTTCCTAACGCGGTCGACGAAGCCCATCACATCTCTGAGCCTCTTTTTCCCGATGCTGTCTTCAAGTCGTTTCTGTGCTGCTTCGCAGGCCCTGAGTTCGGTTTTCAACACGCGGCCGACATTCTCTCGACCTTTGCTCCACTCGTTCGGCTCGACCTCTATCTCGAACTTGAACGGCTTTATGCAGTTTTCAACCTGATCGCTGGTGCTGTAAAATCGGTCGTTCAGGATGCTCGATGATGCGTCGACAATGGCTCGCTGCGCATAAGGATGTGCGGCGAATGTGGATGCTGCGATCAAGCTGTCCACATGCCGTTGCAACTCTGAGGCCACAACTGTGGTGGCCAGTCGACCGACACCCAACTTTGTCAATTCTGAAGTCGAGGCATCCAACTTCCGCTGCCAGTATAATGACCCAGGATCTGCCTTGGGCAGAGCGGACAGCGGATCGGCTTCGGGCTGGACTGGCGACAAGTCCTCTATGGGTTTGTTCCAGTATCTCTTGGCCAATAAATCCATGACCTTCTGGTCCAAAACCTCCTTTAACAGCGCTCGGACTTGAGGTCGCCCAAATTGCTCACTGAATTCTTTGAAAGAGTGCTTGAAACTGTCCAGGCTCTCTGCTAAGTAAGACTCGGCACTCAGAGGTCTGTCGTTATACTGTACTTTGAACTCGTACGTCGCTTCCTCCAATTCCTGGATGATGGCGTCTCTCGTGCCCGCAAGGCTGGCTGCCATGGTCTGCTCAAGTACGTGCATCAGTTTGTGCCGTAAGTTGGTTGTTCCCACGGCGACGCTGGATGCGGGCCCAAATTGGGTGGGATGTGATGAGAAATATGCATTCTCGTTTTTCACGATAGCGCTCGTGATGTTATGCCCTGATCGAGAAAAAAGCCCGGCCGTTTGTGGGATTCTGCACACGACGCCTACGTACCCCAGCCGCAAAGGATACTTTTGGTCTGATAGAATCTCGACACCTCGACTAGGGTCGACCAGGTCCATCTTCGTGATAACTCCAATAGTCCTCTCGCCTCGTGGATCGACTCGTCGACTGGCTCTGAGGGCAGTCGAATTGGCCAAGTCGACATCGGCAGCAGAGATTGCTAGAATGACGTTAGGCGGTTGTATATATTTGTCGCATAAGTCGACGATCTTCTGCTTCAGCTCTGGTGGCTGGTCTTTCCCCGAGACTTGGATGTAACCGGGAAGGTCGATCAGAGAAAGATCAGGGATATGCGGGGAGTAGATAGAAAGCTGAATAGGGTCGTCGGTAACACATTGCTCCACGGGTACCGCAAGATTGAGATCCGTCAGAGTCCTTTGTATCTGGGAGAAATCGGTAATCTTGCCCATACCAAGCGCCGGAAACTCGCCGTATTCTGCCTGCGAATCAGGAGTGTTGATCAGTGTCAGTTCGATCGGGCGTCGAGTGACCATGTTCGTGCCCTTGGGTAAGAATTCATGGCCGACAATTGCCTCGAGAACCGAACTTTTCCCAGACGACTGAGACCCGATGACAACAATAGACGGCAGAGTCAGAGCACCACCCTGGCCCACAGTGTTTAACATATTTCGAATCTCAATCATCTTCCTTGTCAGCACCATCATTTGATCATCTTCGGCCTGGGTCCGTTCGTCTCCCTCGATGACCTCGATTCCCAATGCAGCAGCCGAAGCCGCGGCAGCAGAGGTGGATGCAGATGACTTAGGCGGATCAGGTCCAGAGTCACCTCCGCCAGACTCTTCACCCTTGTCGAAGACTTGTTGGAGCCACTCAGGCAGGTGCGTTTCATCTTTTGTCCGTTGCCAGCCAGCCCCGATCTGTTCCGCAATGCCTTTCGCGCCCTCAAACATACTTGACGACGTCCCAGTGACAGTATCTCCGGCTCTCTTCAGGATGTCCATGGCATAGGTTCCCGCCTGGGCCGCCTGATACTGTATGTATGCCAGTGCTGCGAGCATGCTTGCGCCAAACATTGCGGGCAGACGAGCCATCTTGAGGGCAAGCTTGGGGAGAATCCTCACAAAGGAGATCGACCGCACCGCGGGGACATTGTGGATGGAATTCGATCCGGGAGGCCATGCCCGCCGAGGGAGACGCCCCTCCGGCCTCAAGAGGCCACCGGCTCTCGAGCGGGCATAATTGTGAAAGAGACGCGCCGTCGGCCGGCGCAGCAAAGGTGCGACCCTCGCAGAGAGGAGCCTACCATTCATCACAGGCCTGGGTCAAGCATGAATGCCGTATCAGGATAAAGAAGAGGGATTGATTGCGGCGGGTTAGGTGGTGCGATGCTGCGGCAACAGGCATCTGATGGCGAAGAGTGGGAAATGACGTTTGGTTGGTCGAAGAGGAAGATTGATGCCGTGGTGTCAAGGATCAGGTAAGAGGTACGGACAATGCCACTACGGCAGAGCATCTCGACATACGGGTGAAACGGCGAAGTACTCGGCTCTGACCGCACCTGCATGGGTTGCTGCCCAGCCTCAGATGGCGGTGAGATTCCACGCTCTTGATTGATCTGTGACCAGCTGTGACGAGCGAACTCGGCCGTGTGACGATGGCCATTTAAAGACCACCCTGTCCGTCCCAGTCTTTGTCCTCCTCTTCTTCCTCTGCCTTTCTCACGGTCTGTCGGTGTTGAAGGTGTTGTTCGCTGATAGTATCTTTGGAGTGTTCCTGAGTCACCTCATCCTCGCCACCCTTGACGACCAAGAAATAATGTCCTCAAATAGACACATGACCCATTTGTCTTATTACTTTGGCATCCGTACCGCTATTCCATCCTGGTCTCAACGCAATGTGTAGATTTCTGGTATGTTTCCCTGGCTAGCTTCGAGTTTGGGTTGGACGCTTAACTTTTAATAGGTCTACAAAGGCTCCAAGCCTATCATCCTCTCCAAACTAATCACCGAGCCATCTCACAGCATTCTGACCCAGTCCTATGACAGCCGTCTCCGGCTTGATAGCCGTCGTCCTGTCAATGGCGATGGGTTCGGAGTCGGCTGGTATACCGAGCCAGAATTGGGTCCAGACCCGTGTGTCTTTACCTCCACTTTGCCGGCGTGGAACTGCGTCAATCTGGAACGCATAGCTCCCAAGACGGAATCAAGGCTCGTCTTTGCACACGTCCGAGCGACTACTGAGGGCTCCTTGGCGGAGAACAACTGCCATCCATTCCAGCACAACACTTTGATGTGGATGCACAATGGGAACGTTGGGGCGTGGAAGTACGTCAAACGCCCACTAGCCGACAGCCTCTCAGACAAGTGGTTCCTAGGGGTTAAAGGCGGCACCGACTCCGAATGGGCTTTTGCTCTCTTTCTGGATACCCTAGAACGAGAAGGCGCAGATCCCAGTGCGGAACCTGTGGGTGGATTTGACACCAAGGCCCTCCGGCGAGCCATGAAGAAAACCATTGCCAAGATCAATGCCTTTGTCAAGACGGTCTCCTTGAAACATCAACTGGGAGATGTCGAGACGAGGAGCCTCCTGAATTTTGCTGTCACAGATGGTCATTCTGTCATTGTGACACGATACGTGAGCAGCAAGACTGATGCGGCTGCGAGTCTATACTACTCCTCAGGGACCGCGTGGGTGGAAGGAAAAACCAAGGGACAGTTCAGGATGGAACGAAGAGATAAGGCTTCTGATGTAGTCTTGGTGGCCAGTGAGCCATTGACATTTGAACGGCACAATTGGCTGTCAGTCCCTACCAACACGATTGTGACGATCAGCAACCAAACCGTCTATGTGCGTCCAATCAAAGACGAGTTCTACGACGAAGATCCTTCGACTGAGCGGTCGACCGGGTTTGCCAGATCGAAAGGCTTGGTCTCGAAGGGTCCAGGTGGCGGTACGGAGACTCCAACTACACTGGCTTGCACACCACTTCCGCGTACTGAAGTCGAAACGGGCGCTGGTGGTTACATTGTCAAAGAAAACTTGGACGCATTTCAATCAAGCCTAGCCGCGCTACGCTTGCAGAATGGATGTGGCATGAATGGAACGAGTGGGCAAGTATTGGCCTGAAGTCCGGTGGAAGGCGTTGAAGGGTGGTGCGACAATTTCGGCGTTATTACAGAATGAATACCCATGAGGCCACGCACCTGGCCATGTTTTGATCAGAGAGGCTCAGTAGATAAGGTTGGCCATGTATTTCCTATAAAAAGGTATCGTTTCAGCAAGCAGCTGCAAGCCTGCAGTCTTGTGACCACTCTTGGGATAGGAATGGCGGACAACTCCAATGTGTCAAACCACCGGGCAGCTTCATCCATCGTCACCCTTGAAGTCCGCATGTCTGAAATATTTCATGCCCACCCAGGCTACGACAACCCAGACCCAGGCCATCACGCATGTCAGAACCAGCAAAGCAGGATAGTAGCCCACAATCGGTAAGGTTGGATCGTCTTCCAGTTCTGGAGGCGCGTACGGTGTTTCTCCCACGTCCCATGCCCAGGACCACACCCCGAAGCAGGAGCCCATTCCCACAACGAAAACAATCCAAGTGACAATCAGTATCACATACCCCCAGCAGGCAGTCTCAGAATAATCCCAGCCTTCATCCTCCGAGGATGTACCGGCGACGGATTGGGGTTGAGTGGCCAGCGGTGACCGAGCGCGAGAACCAAACATGCGACGCATGGGATCTTGGAGGGGAATGTAGGATTCGCCCAGAGAAGACACCGATGAAGGCAATTTCCGCAGCGAGGGCATCGGCGGGAGCACCAGGTCTTCATCGTCGGTCGAGGCGTCGGTTGGTGCCATTGTCGGGCTCGTGATAGAGGCCACAGACGAGGCGGGATCGACAGAGGCAATGCTGCTGCGGATCGAGGGAATGGAGACACGGGAAAGGGTTCGGAAGGGCCATGATGGTGGAGAGTCCGGGGATACAGGACTAGATATCTCCTGGATGGCTCGAGGGGTCGGTGGTGACCCTTCTTCATCTGGCGTCGGTCCTGTAGGGGCGTCGGCACTCGACAGCGGAGACTTCTTCACATCAGAATTCTTTCTGTCTCTTCCCTTGCCCAACACCGTCTTCCGCAGAGACCCCTTCCTTCTTCGCTTCACTTGACCTTGTGCCTCTGCCATAGCCCCCCTTCCGAGGTGCTGGGATTCTGGGCGATCGCCTTCGGCAGCATTGCCTTTGACTTTGTCGCTGCTGTTTGAACGGATGAATGGTAACCGCGACAGGATGTTTCCAGAAACAGATCTCTTGTGAATCGGCGCCGCTTCACCTCGCCTTCTCGCCTTCTTGTCCTCTGTCCTTTCTTCCTCGTGGCTGCTAAGTTCGTCCTCGATCGCGGGAAAGGGAGTGGGTGGTTCGGCGGCTTCAGTAGGGCCATGTGTCAACCCACTCATGGCAGATTTCTGGGAGCCTGAAGTGCATATTGCAGGCTACTGGACCGGGCTATCGCAGGGAGCAGACTTCATGCCCATGAGCAGTCGGTGCCTTATAGTCGTACACAACTCAACCCACGTAAACCACGTAAACAAAACCTCGTGTTCGCGAGAAGGGCGCAGGCATGTATGGTGGAGCATTGAGGCATGTAACGTCTGTAGTCTTATATTGCGTCTGATCCGCCGCAGAGCCATCATGAGGTCCAAACCGCGGCCTCGCCATATATTACCTAGGTAGCGATTGAATCTCTCGCATAACTGGAAGTTCGTGATCAGACGCTGCCCATGAAGAGTCCTCTAGATGCAACTCGCAGAGGAAGGCCCTAAGTTGGCACGTCTTAGTCCTGTGTTTGCCAGACACGGCCTCGATGACATCTCGCCTCGTTGCATAGCCGGTCAACACAACAACCATTCGTCTCCCGAAGCATCCTTAATCCAAGGTCATCCAGGCCAGATCAACCACGCCGAAAATACAATCATGTGCTAACATCCAGTGCTCGATGGTACCTTGAAGGAGGCAATTCGCCCAGGCGGCCTCCCAATAGCGTACTGGCCTACTTCCTCCCCCTCACTGCACCCAATCAATTGGCCTCGTAACCTCATGTCTGCGCGGCAGAAAAGCTGTTTGCTACAACATCTGTGTCCACACTCGGCGAGCACATCCTCTAGCCTATCACAATCCTCATCATACAACCGGAAGACTGCCGATAGTCCCCTTATTTGCGGGGTATCAAGACGAGGATAATGATCTTCCATGGTTTTGAACCGATGAGGAATGCCGGAGGACAGAGCTAGCAGGGGGCTTTAACACAAATTCAATAGCAGAATGGGGCCTCAGTATTGGTGATGTCTTCATAGGACATACCCGCCGCTCCGCACTTAACGTGGCCTCCGAACGAAGTTGGACGACTTCAAACATGTTGCAGAGGAGATTGTCGATGACATTATCCGGGCATTAGCTCTAGGCCTCATCTTTCCCAGACTGCGGCGCATCTTCTTCGGCAAAGATCGGGCGCGACAGCTCCAAGATAAAGGAAATCATCAGAGAGTTTTCTACGCCTCCCCCGCAGTTGCTGTGGTAGCATCGGGGTTTCCTCTCCTACATGGCTGGGGTGATGATCTCCCGAGCGTGTGTGACAACCTCTTGGGGAACGCGAGCCAGCCATTGTTTTCCTCAAACGGCATTTTTTCATCGCGATCTTCCACACGTTGACGCAGGAATCCAACCCCTTGCCCAGATGGACCAAGGCAAGGAACTACAAAGGAAACCAGATGATCTTCACTGGAGTACTTGATGTACTGTAAATAACGCGGTCGCCCGCCTTTGTTCCTACAATCATTCTTTTGACTCTCACGATTGCACGAATGATGGCGCTCATCATCCGGGCCACAGTACTCATCTTGACGAGTTTAGCTTGCGCTCAAGACTATGACTCGTCCCCTCCAGTGTACCCGAGTCCTCTGACCTCAGGTATTGGCTGGGAAACCGCCTTCACCCAAGCAGAAGCATTCGTCTCAAACCTGACCCTAGAAGAGAAGGCCCAACTCGTCACCGGCACTTCAGGTCCATGTGTCGGGAATATCGGCGCCATCTCGCGTCTAGGCTTCAACGGCTTGTGTCTTCAAGATGGGCCTTTGGCAATCAGACAAGCCACGTATGCGTCTGTGTTCCCAGCAGGCCTCACGACCGCAGCCTCATGGGATAGAGAGCTCATGTATGTTCGTGGATTGTACTTGGGAGCTGAGTTCAGGGGCAAGGGAAGTCACGTCGCACTTGGTCCGGTCGTTGGACCGCTGGGCCGCTCAGCGTATGGCGGGCGTAACTGGGAAGGCTTCTCCCCAGACCCATACCTTACCGGTGTGGCCGCTGAACATACCATCTTGGGGACGCAGCAAAGCGGTGTCCAGGCTTGCTTAAAGCATTACATCGGATACGAGCAGGAAACACAGCGAAACCCTGGACTTTCCGTTGACAATATTACGATCGAGGCAATTTCTTCGAATATCGACGATCGAACGATTCACGAGCTGTACCTATGGCCCTTTGCAAATGGTGTTCGTGCTGGAGTGGCCTCCATAATGTGCTCCTATAACAGGGTCAACGGATCTTATGGGTGTCAAAACTCGAAGACACTCAACGGGCTGCTGAAAACGGAACTCGGCTTCCAAGGCTATGTTGTGTCAGATTGGGGTGGTACTCATGCTGGGGTCGATGCCATCAACAGCGGACTAGACATGGACATGCCCGGTCAGTCGTCAAAGAGACACGTACAGCAATTCTCCTTCTTACTGACAAAACGCTCTAGGACCCATCGATCGATCCCAGAATTCGTCTTTCTTCGGCGGCAACGTTACGGAAGCGGTCAACAACGGGACGCTCTCCGCAGAACGGGTTGATGACATGGCTCGACGGATCATGACACCTTACTTTTACCTGCAACAAACCAATTTCCCACCTATTGACGGCGAGGAGCCGACATTGAATGATGAGTTTCCTCCCTATGAAGATCAATTCATTCTCGGCCCCTCAAACGTGGACGTCCGGGACCATCATGCCCAACTGATACGTCAGCTGGGCGCTGCCGGTACTGTACTACTCAAGAATACAAACAACATACTTCCATTGCAAGCGCCAAAAACGATTGGAGTATTTGGGAACGACGCAGGTGATCTGGTCGATGGCGAATATTTCTCCGGTTCCACTTTTCAGAATCAGTTCGGTTTCGGTAAGGCGATCAACGATCGACCCATTAGCTCTACCTTTTCAAGTTTGACTTACAACAATAGAATATGGCAACCTCCCCGTGGCCGGCGGCAGCGGCACAGGCCGTTTATCATACCTCGTATCTCCGCTGGAAGCCATCAAAGGCCGCGCTGTTCAAGACGGAACACTCGTGCAGTATATCTTGAACAACACGTTGATTACTAGTCCTGGCGGCCTAGGCGGCATCGTGCCTGTGCCAGAAGTCTGTCTTGTCTTCCTGAAGACTTGGGCTTCCGAGGGGATTGACCGCGTCAGCCTCGAGGCAGACTGGAACAGCACGGGAGTGGTGCACTCTGTGGCCACATACTGCAATAACACTGTGGTAATCACGAACTCCGGGGGCCTGAACGTGATGCCGTGGGCGGAAAACCCAAATGTGACGGCCATATTAGCCGCTCACCTACCCGGGCAAGAGTCCGGCAATTCACTCGTTGACATCCTTTATGGTGCGGTCAATCCGAGCGGTAAACTGCCCTATACCGTCGCATTGAACGAGAGTGACTACAACTATGCGTTGATCACAAACTCGACGGAACTGGTCGAAACCGAAAACCCGAACGCGTGGCAGTCCAACTTCACCGAAGGGCTGTTGATCGACTACCGCCATTTCGACTATTACAATCAATCGGTCGCATTCGAGTTTGGGTTCGGCCTGTCATACACGACCTTCAACATGTCCGGTCTGAGTGTTGCGGAGACGGTGTTCGGCAACATCAGTTCCTTGCCCGACCCAGTTCTCCCTGTTCCCGGTGGCAATCCGTCGCTCTGGGGCGTGTTGTACACCGTGAACGTCACCGTCACCAACACAGGCAACGTGACAGGTGCCACTGTGCCACAGTTATATTTGTCCCTACCCCAGATTCCGGACGTCGGGCCGACACCGGTCAATGTATTGCGCGGATTTGACAAGATCACGCTGCAAGCCGGCGAGAGCCGGTGGGTGTTGTTTCCCCTGACACGGCGGGACCTGAGTTACTGGAGTGTATCAATACAAAACTGGGTGATTCCTTCAGGGTCTATCGGTATTAATGCAGGGTTTAGTAGTCGCGACATCCGGCAGTCCTCGCAGATGACGGTGGTTTGATCGAAGGTCTACATCTACACTCCTTTCACGCTGCTTGATGATTCGTATCTGGACATGGCTATAGCAAGCACCGGTGGTGATGAGGAGGGGGGCAACGATGATGCAGAAGGGGGCCCAGGCCTGAATTCTACTATGACTGAGATTGATATTGAGGTTGGAGGCATCAGGTTCTCCGAATCAGATTCCAAACAAAGTCAACACGAAGGAGAGAGAAAACATAGTCTATAATTCAAACCCCCAAGCAGTCATAGCCCGTGCACTCACTCATCCTCTTCTCTCGTAGAGCAGCCTCGAAATCTGGCTGGCTACAGGTAAATCAGAGTTCTTCCAGGAAAACTCCATTGCCTGTCAACCGTATTCCGCAGGCTGGAACTGGGAGCTCCAGTCTGCCACTGGGCTGTCATGTCGTTGTGCTATGCCCGCTGAAGGGCAATGCCAATGAGAGCAGAGAGCGGAAAAGGTCGAATTAAAAGTTTGCCGCTATCTACTTAGCCCGTAAGCCCGTACTAGGACCACCATGGTAAAAGCGGCGAGAATTCACCCGTACCAGTAGGGAAGAATGTCAGGTAATTAATACTTCAGACGTACATCCTCAGAGTTTAAACAACGGTGTACTGAGGTAGCCACCGTATATGAGAGTTTATCCTGTCTACATGCCCATGATTGTCCCTTGCCCCTCCCTACTTGTAGGACCCGAACCATGCAGCGTTCTGGTGTGGCTCCATTACAAGTTCCGAGTGCGTTCATGACACACCAGGGAGCCTGAGGACCAACTCGATTATAAAGCAAGATACATGGACAGGGCACACGGCCAGTAGATACCTGGCTGAATATACTAATTACAAGGTCAGGTAGTTTGAGGCTCAGATAACTTGATTCCACAAGACAGCCCCTATATTGGAGGCAAGGCTTCTCGACATACCGGACAGACGAGTCTCAAATTCATCCAGCTTTCAAGGCACTCTGCATGGAAAATATGCCGGCAAGGAGTGACCATATAATTGCCCTGTTCAAGCCATGGCGCCCCGCCAGCTCTTCCCACCACTCCCGTGCGCATTCCATCTGCCTTTGACAGGACTGGCACGTCAATCTCATTCATGCAGATAGCACAGTCAAAAATCTTGCGGGTCTTGTCGTCTTTGCCCTTCGCTTCCGAAGCAGAGGCCAGAAGCCCAATAGACATGCCATTTGCCTCAACATCGTCTTCGCGGAGGACAGGGTGGTAGTCGTAAGCTGGCGGACACCAGGAATCACGGACGAGAAGACGAGGTCCAAGGAAGCGTTGAGTTACCAGGACAAGAACCTGAAGCCACAGCCAGCCTAGCAGAGCCAAGCCGGTGCTTGGACTGGTGTCGATAGAAAGGATGTTGTTGTCTGCAACATACCAGTACAGAACGGGTACGGCCCTAAGAATGCTCGATCCACAAACGTACTCCCAGGTCAGCGCTTTACGGCAGTTTCGGATGGTATTGCGATAGATCTGCGGCCACCAGAATGAGAAATAGCAAAAGACAAGCAGGTTTGCGTAAGCCGAGCGTAAGGGTCGTGGCCAGGACATTGCCCACAAAGAGAAGAACATGAGCATGACGAGTGAGAAATAGAAGCGGCTGTAGATCGCCGCAAACGAAGCGCGCGCGCTTGGTATCTCAGTCAAAGCTGGTGTATCCTGGTCCGAAGGAATAATGATTGGTGTGGCGCCGTCAGGTCGTGGCGCAGTGGCAGGAAGCGGTAACCCGTCCGTTTCCCCTGCGCTGATGGCTGGAGGTACTGCAGGTGGCGCACCTACGGCAGGAGCTGTAGTTGTGGCGGCCCTCCTCTGTCTTTCATGCTCGGCACGCGCTGGATCGCCAACCTGGACCGTCCAGATGTCGAAGATGAATTTAACTTCGAGGAAGGCGACATGAATGCAAGTCAGGAACGTAGCTGCAGCGACCATCAGGAACGCGGTCTCATCGATCATGAGCAGCGCAATAAGAGCAAATAACAGCAGTCCGTCGCCGAGAGCGGCAATGACGATGCCCTGGTATGCAATGCGACTTCGAGTGGAGGGAGTTGCAGCCTTCTCCATCTGGCGCTTCAACAAAGCGATTTGGAGCCCAATGGCCATGATGAACGAGAACAGCAACCGTTGGGCAAGCGTCCAATACGCTTCGATCTTGGGGCCAAACACAGCCCCAGACTCCATCATATAGCCGCAATCTGGCGAGAAGATGGTGGCAGAAAAGCCCAGTGGCGGCGGCTGACCGATGGGGGCACCTTCGGGCTGCTCTAACTCCTGCTCAACCTGATGAAGGAAGCGGTTCGTTTCTGAAGGGCCCAACCCTTCAAGTCTATAAGGGAGCGGTTGCAGCCAAACAATCAGCTCGCACTGGGGCGCAAAGGATAACCCGTCGGGCTGATCCTCGAAGTTCTTGTCCCATATCTTGTGCACGGTCTCGTTCATGACAGCCTTGGAAGCATTGAAGCTTACGGCGTCAAGCATAAAATGAGGCAAGGCCAGTAAGGCGTTGAATTTGGAGCTGGCCGTGGACATGATAATTTGCCCAGATGGAAGATGAACCCCCTGCACTCTGGCCTGCCAACCATTTCCTGGAGATGATTCAGTCCATATCGAGAGATCAGCCTTGATGTCGGAGGCGTCGTGAGTTTTTCGGTCGCGAGAATCGAAGATAGACAGACTAAGCTCGCCTTCTTTGTCGGTGATATTCCTATCGTAACGGGATGACAGATAGTCTTTCGTGGGCTCCAATGCGGACAAATTAAGCGATGGAGCAGGGACTGTGATATCCTTGCGAAAGACCTTTCCTCGAATCTCGCCCGTGACTCGGTCATAGATGGGCAGGTCATGTTTCAGGTCAATTCCCTTCCAGGCGCCTTCATACTGCTTTCGGCTCAATGCCTGCGCAGTAGCGAGGGATTCCCACTGGTACCCGTCATCGTGGCGGAAGCCCGTGAGATTCAGCCAGCTATTCGATTTGGGATTGAATTGGCCATAAGTGGAATTGAGCAAGGTCGCAAGTTCCGCCTGTCGCTGTTCTTCAATGCGATCCGTGTCAATCTGGAGATGCTGTCGCGCGGGTTGATCGGGAGTCAGGAAGATGAAAAGTAGCAAGACGACCAAGAAAACGACGCGTGGACCTTCCATCCACCAGGTTGCAGCTTCGTGCGACTCATCGCAGAGCCAGCAGGCGAGGGATGATAGAACGAAGAGACGGCGGTTGATTGATTATGTGAGAGAGAGTATGTGAAAGAGAGAGGGAGAGAGAAGGAGCTACTGAGATGAAGACGACGATGAGGATGAGGATGATATCGTGGAGGTCGCCGGCCTGGTCGCTCCAATCGGGCAATTATTGACCACCTTGACTTTCGAGGGGCTCCAGGCTCAGGCTCAGGCTCGCCGTTCTGTTCCTCCCTGTCTCGCACTGCAACACATCGCTATGAAGTCTGTCTTCTGCCTGCTTTTCCGAGCCTGGACAGAGCACGGACAGTAGCTCTACATTCCAGTCAACCGTGGGCTGTTGAGGCCTGAGGCTCCTCTCCTTGTCACCATGGCGGACTCCATGCCCATTCCGCTGCCTCCTCGAACTCCTACACCTCCCCCAGACGAACCGACATCTCTTCAGAGCCTGCCCATCCTCGAGCCAGATACTCCCCTTGACTCCAATTCCCTGTCACCCCTTCACATCGAACAGCGCGAGCAGATGGCATCGTCGTACTTCTCCCCAACCACCCCCGACCGACCAGGTCCCAATGCGAACGGCGCAGGGCCCTTCAACTTCCAGCCAGCAACGTTAGCAAAGTCGCCTGTGATAAAATCTGTTTGTGCATCCTGTTTTGCCTTGACCCTGGATTGGGCTTCCCCCCGGCTCAGTTTCTGCGATGAAATCTCACTAACCAACAAATCTCCCTTTTCAGAACATCGGCCAGAGACGCGGCCACAAATACAAGCACAGCAGTGTTTCGCACCAGATCTTCCTCGAACCTCCTCCTCGGGCGCCGCTGGCCCTCCCGAATTCGCTCCCGATTCCTACATTCGCCGAGTGCAGGGCAAGCATGACTAAAGACCAGAACATTCGTTTCTACTGGAGTATTTGCCATATGGCCGTTGCAGGTTACGCGGCATGGAATGCCCACGGGTCGGCCGCCATGGAAGCACTGTCGCATCTGATATTCTACGACTCTCTTGGGGCGCTATTATGCGTTTTCGTCGAAGTTCTCTCAAACTTTGAGGTCTGGGGACGGTCAAGTCTGAGACACCCTTTTGGCTTGCAACGTATGGAGGTTGTCGCTGGTTTTGCTCTCTCTGTGTTGTTGATCTTCTTCGGGTTCGATCTGATCTCCCACAATGCGAAGCACGCCCTGGAAGGCATTGGACATGAACCACACCATCCGCACAGTCACGAGCGCGTGTCCCCAGGCACAGTTGACCTGACAGTCATACTTGCTTTGGTTTCTACATTGATCTCAGCCGTCGGCCTGCAGAATCATGCGAGGATCGGCAAGGCCATGCGATTTGCGGCCATGGAGAACCTACCCTCTCTCCTGAGCAATCCGTCGCATTTTCTGACGCTATCTTGTTCGGCCACGATACTCCTGCTTCCGCTCCTGTCGTTACACACCTACGAGTGGGTGGATAAGGTCCTCTCCATGAGCATTGCATTGAGTATGCTCTTCCTAGGGGTGCATCTGGGACGCAATGTGGGCGCCATGCTTCTCATGTCTCTGCCCTCAAAGTCGGAGAGTGTTGCGCAAGTCGTCAAAGCCATCGAAGCTGAACCCTCGGTGCGCAGTGTGGATCAGGCCAAGTTCTGGCAAGCTCATTATGGCATGGGCATGGCGAACTTGCGACTTCGCGTCGTCGGCCCGGAGGAGCAGTTGGTGAAGCTTAGAGAGAGGATCGCCAGCATGATCCGTAACCATTTGAGCGGTGGATACGGGCAAGGGAGCACCGGACAGAAATGGGAGGTCAGTATACAATTCAAGGTGGAGATAGAGAGCGCCTTCTCAGCGAGCCACAACCATCTGGTCTCTGGACCAGGCTGGACGACGAGCTGAAAGCAGAGATCTGCTTCTTGTACTATAGTTTATGATTCATGACCATACATGTCTAGAGCTTCTCGCATTCTATGTCTTGCGTACCCTGCATCCCTTGTAAACAGCAATTCAGGATCACTACAATGATATCTAGTCTTCATGATGGCACCATTGACAAATGTCTTCCATACACGACCTTGAGCGACTTGAGGCAGCACAGGACGATACTGCCCTCCACAGCGAGTCCAATCTGGCCTGCTGGCATGCTGTTTCGGGCAGCACACTCACCGCGGAAGCCGACGAGGTTCCCTGTTGGCAAGCTTGCGTATTGAAGCCCATGATGAGGATGAAAAGAGGCTCACGAGGCTCATGAGGTGCGGCAGACCATCTGGGCCCCCGCTTCGTTGATCCTCGCCCTCCTGGGCCCGGCTAGACGCCGGGCAGGCTGTCAGCGTGGACAATGTTCAAGAGATCTTGACCGTCATTGTCGCTTGTCTGAGGATAGCTCCCTCCATTGGAGAAATCTCGGCGGCACCGACTTCCTGGATCTTCTCCCTGAGCGTCTTCAACAAGGCTTCTGCTTCTTCTGTGGAGGCTTTCCGCTGACGCCTCTTGGAAGCGAGGAGCAGTTCCACCTTCTTGCCCTTTCGCAGAAAATCCTCCATCTGCCTCAACTTGAGTTGTAAATCATTGCTGCTGATGGCCCAGTTGAGTTCGATCTGTTTGGGCCGCTTCTCCTTCTGCGCATGCTGGACACGTCGTTGTGCGGTCTCCTTCTCTTTGATCTGTTTGATCAAATTGGCCCGCTCCACCACTTGTACAATAGCGAACTCATGCTCTCCAGACTTGCTGAGCTGCAGAACATGGCTGGTCGTCCGGTCGATAGATTTCAGGACTTGGCGCAGGTCGATGGGCGACGAGATTTTGCCGTCGGCGGTTTTGACTCGAACCTGGCGGGTATCGATCATCTCGTCAAGATTGAATTGTGCAAGCTTATCATCGATGGTCACGATCTGCAGCTTTCCCGCAGCTCGTCGGTGGTCGACGGCAGACCATGACGGCGAGGTGCCGAACGCTCTAGAGGGCGGCAGGCATACATGAGGCCTTCCAGCAGACGCTGTAGCCCGCAGAAGCGGCCTGACCGAGACGGACACCCGCTGCATCCACTGTTGACCTGTAGAGAGAGGATATCACCAACCAAAGGTGAAGGAAGGAAGGGTAGTTTAGAAGGTGACGGACAAGATAATTTCTGTAGCATTTCCCCATGCCCTTATTAGACAGATATACTACTGTACTTGCATTACTGCGGCGAGAACTGTAGCCACCGTGCCACTGGCGTGTAGTATGTACCCACCGATTCGTTCGCTTCCCCCTGTACAGGGGTTATTAGGGGACCTAAGGACCCTAAACCCTTAGACCAGCTCGAACGCGAGATTCCGCCCGCGCATCCGTCCTGATCCCCAAAATAATCTTTATCGCTTCGTGTCCTGTCCTCAAGTCTTGAGCCCCTTTGCCCATTGTTCTATCCCACCTCCCACGCACGATTTTGTTCTGAGGCTTTGTCGCCACGACCTTCGTTTTCTGTGTGTTTTGTCCATGTCCACCTCCCACAACTCGTCTGGCCGAGCTGGAATCTGGTCGTACGTTTCTTTCGGCTCCCCTCCACGGCGTCGGTCCGTCTCCAGTGGCTTGCCACTGAGACACGCTGGCAACAGTGATTCCAACAACGCCCCTTGGGACCCTTTTGAAAAGTCGGAGCGCCAAACAGGAGGAAACGGCACGAGCCAGCCTTACACCCTGGAGTCCATAAGCACCGCCTGGATGACTCAAAGTCGGCAGGCACGGTTCTTCAAGACCGGGGGAGTCTTGACCCTGATCGTTCTGCTGTACTGGTTCTTCTCAGGAGGAAGCAGCCCTTCCAACAGCAATAACATATACACTTCTAGCAATTCTCCGACGACGAGATGTACGAAACCTCACGACCTTTCCAAGCCCCTTGTCCAGTATGCTATCATGATCGATGCGGGAAGCACGGGGAGCAGAATCCATGTGTACAAGTTCAACAACTGCGGGCCGACGCCCGAACTAGAAAATGAAGAGTTCAAGATGACGGAGCCAAGGCCCGAGGGTTCAGGGCTGAGTTCCTACAAGACAGATGCGGAGGGCGCGGCCAAGAGTCTGGATCCTCTCCTGGCAGTGGCCGTGGCCACTGTTCCAGATGATTACAAGTCCTGTACCCCGGTGGCGGTCAAAGCCACAGCCGGCTTGCGACTTTTGGGAGAAGAGATGAGTGCGAAGATCCTCGAAGCCGTCCGTACGCGACTGGAGACACAATATCCCTTCCCCGTGGTCTCCAAGGAGAAAGGAGGGGTTGAGATAATGAAAGGGGAGGATGAAGGCGTGTTCGCCTGGATCACCACCAACTATCTGCTGGGTAAAATCGGCGGGCCCGACGAGACACCAACAGCGGCCATATTGGATCTCGGCGGCGGCTCTACGCAGATTGTCTTCCAGCCGACGTTTAAGAATAGTCCGCACGGGGGCATGCCCGAGAAGATGGCTGAGGGTGACCACAAATACAACCTCAAGTTTGGTGGGCGGGAGTTCGAACTGTACCAACATTCCCATCTCGGGTACGGGCTCATGTCGGCGCGGAATGCTCTACATGCCTCGGTTCTGGGCCATATGCACAAGCAGAACCCAGATTCGAAAGCCTGGCTGTCGAAAGAGATCCCCAACAGCTGTATCATCCCGGGCATGCAGAAGAGAATCAACGTCACCATGCCTAATGATCACGAGCTGGCAGGGCAACACAGTGTGCTCATGTATGGGCCGCCCGACGGACTCCCAGCCCAGTGTCGGGCGCTGGCGGAGGGGATTCTCTACAAGGAGAAAGAATGCAACCTGCATCCGTGCTCGTTCAACGGCGTCCACCAACCATCTCTCTCGAAGACCTTCTCCCGCGAAGATGTGTATATCTTCTCCTACTTCTACGACCGGACCCATGACCTAGGCATGCCGGAGTCGTTCACGTTGCGAGAAATGCTCGACCTGACGGACAAGGTGTGCGGCGGAGAGAAACACTGGAACGCCTTTGCAGGTGTCGAAGGAGCGCTGGCGGATCTGCGCGACCGGCCCGAGTGGTGCCTCGACCTGAACTTCATGTCGGCGCTACTGCATACCGGGTACGAGATGCCGATTGACCGAGAGGTCAAGATCGCCAAGAAGATCAAGGGCAACGAGCTGGGCTGGTGTCTGGGTGCCAGCCTGCCGTTGCTCGAGAAGGAAAGTGGATGGGAATGCCGGATCAAGGAGGTCACACGATGAGATGGGCATTAGATGAGCATGAGATGACTTCAGCTGGTACCCCCGTATGCCTTTTCGGCCTGTACATAATTCCTCTTTTCTTGTCCCTTCTCCCTCGCGAATCGACATATCCGTGAGGGCCCACGGAAACACCGGGAGTGTCTGGATTCACGGCTGGGTGAGGACAATGATGTCCTCAATGGGAGTGGGAGTCCCTTGCTGGGACAGCATGTAGAGTACCAGTACCGTACATTGACGCTGGTCCAGGTACCTACTGGGTACCTAGGTAGGTATGCATATTACTTGAACGGACGGGGGCGGCTGGGCTGGACTGGGTATCGGGTCGGCAGAATAGATTTACCTTACCTTGAAAAGATTCGAGTTCGTTATGGTTAAGTTGAGTCAGGCTTGGGTCTTAGGCCTTAGGCCCTTCCATCACTGTCTTTTGTTCTCCTCTACCTATCACGTCCTTTGTTCTCCTCTAGTTGCAACTAACTAACTGGTAGAATGGCCGTCTACACTGTGTATCCGTAACTAATTGGTAGAATGGCCGTCGACGCTGTATATCCGTATATGGCATCTGTATATTAAAGATATCTAAATAGCGCCTCACTCCTAGATCTAATCTCTATATAGAGTCTTGTTTCTCTCACCACCAGCTCTCCCTTCTCCCCCAAACGCCTCCGCTAAGGACAAATGAGCGGCAGGAACAGGAACGAATTGGATCGATATGGACCCTTCTATCGCGACGCGCTGAAGTCCTCTCGACTCCGGCCACATGGAGCTCATTAGGGCGCATGTCAGATTCCATCGCGGTCTAGGTATGCATGCCTCCCCCTCCGCGTGGTGCGTAAAGAAATTTGAAATTCGGTGCCGACTCGGCTCAGCCACGGCTGGGGTTCAAAAGCTGCCTTTGCCCAATAGTTCGTCTCCGACCTCTTTCAGCAGCGGTTCGGTCTTGACGTCGTCGCCGAGTCCGTGGCCAGTCTTTTTTATTTGTTTCAACGTCTCCCGCAGGTCCATGGCCTGGCACAGATCCCAGAGCATGTTCTCCGGCGGGGCGGCGTACAGCAGCATGCCAAGTGCAAGGAGGAGAGCGTGCAGTGTTTCTTTGGCATTGACGGCGCCCTTGACATTCCCATTTCCTGTTCCGGTTGTCGAGTCTGTGCCGTTGACAGACACAAGCGACGTGATGGACTCCAGCAGGGCGGCGGAGAGATCGTCACTGGGGGCGGCATCCTCGTCAGCGGCCGTGGTGGATGTGGTGGTTTGGGCATGGACGCGCTGGTTATGGATGTATGCAGCAAGATTGTAGACGAGTGCAGCGGCCATGAGACGCGCATTCACATGGGGTGAAAGCAGACATTGCGATGCGAGCGACTCGACTGCCTCTTTCAAGTTCACCGAGCTTGCCGCAGCGTTTTGTCCACGGAATACTTGTTCCTGAAACACGTTCGACCCAAACATGTTACAGGTGAGCTGCAACGAGACGGACTGGATGTTGTACGGCGCAGAGGAGAAGTCGCCGCCGCTCCGCGTTGCAGACAAGAGGGTCGAGAGAGTCGTGCGCTCATGCTCTGTCACGAGGAAACTCGACACTCGCGGATCCGCAGCTGCAACGCGGACAAGGTCTATCACTACGAAATGTTTCTCGGACGGGAGCGAGGGAAATGCCGAGGCGAGATGGGCACTGAACGCGTGGAGATCCGGCAGGGGTGCTTCGGTCATGCCCTTGGCATCGCGGGCTCTGATGTAGGCCACGAGGTCTTGCACAGACTGCGCCTGGGAGATCTCCGGCCCGATTTTGGCGAGGAGTTTGTCCAGGGGGGGTGTGCGGGTGTACATAATAGGGGTGTTGATGATGCGCTGGAAAGTGGGCAGTTTCAGTGTCGCGTGCTGGTGCTGAGGCGGTCTAGTCATCTGCAGCAGCAAGCGAACATTGCCTCTGAGTTGTGCCGGGTTGGCGCCAGACCACTCATCCTGCTTTTGGCCCTTGAGAAAGGTGATGAAGGTCGGAGTGGCGCGGACTTGGTATTTCTGTGCCACGGCGTGCGCCGACGGGGAGGCGGAGATGTCGATTTTGATCAGCTTCGCGCCGCTTTCAACGCCCGCTTCGGCAGCAAGTTCGTCGTAGGTGGGATACACGATCTTGCATGGCGGGCAGGTGGCCGAGGTGAAGAAGACAACGGCGCAGGATTGTCGGGCCCCTTCGAGCAGGCTATCGAGCTCGGTCAGCGACGAGATGTTGTAGACGTGGCCCGGAGATTGTGCTGGGGGCTGCGCATTGATGATGGCCGTGGGAGCGACTCTATGGATGGCTGTGGCGTTGGGTGTGGACGAGGCAGGAGTTCCGTTTGCGACGGCGTTAGGAGTCGGTTTGGCAGCTGTAGGATTCCTCGAGGCGTTCTGGCCAGCGGCAGCATCGGGAGCCTGGGTCATCTTTCTCATGGACTGGTCGAGTTGGCCACGCAGCATCTGTCCGATAGGGGTGTTGAGAAATGTCTCGGGTAAGCTCCGGATCTCATCGGGGATACTCTTGCCCACAAGAAACATGGCCAGGTCCTGCGAGAAGTTGTTGCAGTTATGCAGGAACAGGTCGTACGACTCCGGGGTGTAGATGTCTTCCAGAGATTCAATGTACTCTTCGATGACATCGAGGGGGAGGTCTGTCTTTCCCAGATTCACCACCGACATGGGCCGGCCATGGTGGGTTGAGCCGGGGACTTTTCTGTGGATGCCCTGGCCGAAGAAATACTCGACATTGTTGAGGACGATGGCTGTGTGATAGATGGCATCGATCTGGACGCCGGTCAGAGCACGAGAATACTGTCTGGCCAGGCCCTGGGTCACGTCAGGTTAGTAAGGGACAGCACTGCGGTGCGAGGGAACTGTGAGGAACAGGAACAGGAACGCACCTGTGACAGGTCGTAAACATAGAGTTGGACGTCCATGGTCAGTCGCAGAGGTTAGTGATGGGCAGGGCCATACATCGCAGCTAGGAGGAATACCGGTAGAGTGATGGTATCAATAAATGCATGTTGGTGGTGGGTGGTGGTGGTGTTGATGTTCGGGTTCTCGATCAGGCGGCAAACGTACGTCAGCCACATTGGATTAAATATATTCGTATCTGTACCTGTCTACAACATTCTCTGTGGCGTCACCAACTCGCGATCCGAAACATCCTCCCACCAACCTCAGTCTTCACTACCTGGTATTGCTACTGCCGTTCCTCGTGATCCGTCTTTACCTCCAGTGTCTTCTCCGAAGTTGAATGGAACTATAGCGAGAAGTTTGCGTTGCCCTGTCCAATGTCGTCGTTATCCGGCCATGGTTGGTGTTGTCGGGTATTTCCTTTGACGGCCATCCACTGACCTCTCTCAGCCGCCACGTAAAGCGCCTTCCCGAGGCAAATCTGCAGCCTCTTCTTCCCGAGCAGGCCCTTCAACCCCAAAGGCGCGACGTTCGAAACTCGCCAAGGAGAATGATCTGACGGCAGAGGAAGAGGCCGAGATCAAAGAGGCCTGGAACCTCTTCCGGCTTGATGATGTGGAAGACTACGAGGATGAGAAAGAAGGCGTCATTCGGACGACCGACGTACGGAATGTTCTAAAGTGAGTCCAGATCATCAAACACGCAGGACCTCCCCATTCTCATGAGCTCTGCTCGCCTCCCCATGTCTCGTGCTGCGGCTATACGCAAGACCCCAGCGTTGACCGCAACTTTCTCTCTCCCCTTAGAGCGCAAGGACTCGCGCCGAGCAGTCAGTCGGAGATGCGAGAATTCATCGAGACGCTAGACCCAGACTCGTCTGGCCATGTGACGTATCCTCACTTCCTCGCTCTGTGCGCCATCCAGCTCAAGGCCAAAACGGACGAGACCAAAGCCGAAGAAGTCGAGACTGCGTTCCAGCTGTTCCATCCCGGTCAGGCGGCTGGTGCGGGCCACGAGCAGGTGATTCGGCTGCACGATCTCCGGGCGGTGGCCAAGATCTTGAAGGAGGAGGTGAGCGACGATGTCTTGAAGGCGATGATTCTGGAGGCCAACGGTGGAACCGGGGTCGGCCAAGGAGTGAACATGGAAGACTTTCGAGCCATCATGACTCGGGCGGGCGTCTTCCGGTAGGGCAAGTGTGAACTATGGGAGTTTGCCGGTGCCGTCGACAGCACTACCACGGCGTTTACGATACAGATTACATCTTGGGCGGTAGAGAGGAGAGCCAAGGCAACGGCAACGGCAATGGCAACAGGAACAACACCTGTGTCAACAGCATATAGGTAGGTATGTACGAGTATGCGACATCCAATATGCGACATGCGATGATCCAGATAAGGGTTTTTATATTTTTGTATTCTTTTGTCTCCACATAAATCAACCCACAGCCCAAACATGTGAATGTGAAGCTGCAGCAGTAGAGATGGGTGGAAAGCCTCGCGACCAAGCCCTGAAGGCCTGGCCGTCAGTCGAGGCTGGATACTAATCTAGCTTCCCTGTCCACACTGGCTCGCTTTGGGTGTGAGATGAAACGGCCAGCTCTAGCATAGATAGAAGCGATAACGATGACAAGACAAGGACAAAGACAAAAATAAACATAATCAAACGGTGTAGGTTTTTTTTTTTTTTTTTTGGCTGGAGGCGTGACATGATTTCAATTTCCAGCTGCCAGCTGACAGCACGCCCGCACCCGCGCCTGCGCCTGACAATCAGCGCGAGGAGGGTTGTGCAGAAATCGACAGTGAAGTTGGCATCAAAGCATCACTGGCGTCACTGGCGTCACTGGCGTCACTGACAGAAGTAAATCATGATGGAAGTGAGAATGTGCACACTGGCTGGCATTGCATGGCATGGCAAAAGAACAGAAACGAGATTGCTGGACGAAAAAAGCCGGTGAGTTATTTGTGTTGACGCAATAGGTGTATTCTGCACGCCAAGAAGCACTGATTTCCACATTGAGACAAGTTTGTAATTGTATCAGCATGATTGGCTCCAGCGTGGCCGGGATTGCCAAAGTACTCTAAATGGTGTCTATTGTATACTTCTTCCCCTTCTCCTGCCTCGAATCTATACAGTACTCGGTACTCTATATCCGTACTCACCTCACAACTTGGACCGTTGGGGCTTTCGTGCCCATGGGTGGTCCTGCCCATGGTAGATATATCTATCCAGCGCGCTCGTGGTGACCAGACCTGGGTGCGCCTGGTCCAGACTCGTAATGCCCACCAGCTGCATGGCACTGTCGAGCTCCGCCTCAAGGACTGCCATTCATTAGTATCAGTATACACCCCATGAGAGTGAGGGCCGTTTAGAACATACTTTTGATGGCATGCTTGACACCCGCCTCTCCATATGTCAATGAGTAAAGAATGGGCCTCCCAACACAGACAGCGCTGGCGCCCAGACAGATGGCCTTCAAGATATCTGAGCCTCGTCGGATGCCTCCGTCGATGAATACCTGCATGTGGTCCAAGATCTCCGGACAATTGGCTTGGATGTCGAGAAGAACCAGGATCGATGGCGGGGCGGTATCGAGGGCTCTTCCGCCATGGTTGGAGATGTAGATGCCAGCACAGCCGTACTCATAGGCTAGTCGAGCGTCGGCGGCGGTCTGGATTCCTTTGACAAAGACCGGCACACCGGTCCGCTTCTGGATATATTTGATATCGTCCCAGTTCAGCGTCGGATCGACAGCCGAAACTGTGGCTTTCTCCGACATGGGGATGTTGGCCAGCTTCTTCTTGGATTGCCGCTCTTGCGCCTCATACTTTGCATACGTCTCACGCTTGGACATGACGGGGAGATCGACGGTGACGAGGATCGCCTGAGGTTTCAACGCACAGACCTCATCCAGCAGTTTCTCCATCTCAGCGCGGTCGCTGTGGACATAGAGCTGGAAGAAGAACGGATGGCCTTCCGGCAGTGCGGCGACAATGTCTTGCAGCGGGTAGGACGACATGGTCGGGATGATGATGGGGTTGCCACAGGCCGAGAATGCCCTCGCCAACGCGAGCTCTCCGTCGGCATGGGCGAGCATTGCTGACGAGGTCGGCGAGTTGAGGATCGGCGACGACCACCTTCGCCCGTATATCGTGGTGGTGGTGTTTGCTTTGCCCACTCCGGTCAGCACCCGGGGCCGGAACCAGATGCGACGGTACCACTCTGCATTCGCGGCGTTGGTCAGGCCGTCCTCGGTGGCCCCTGCGATGTAGGCCCACGACTTGGGCCGGAGACGCTTGGGGGCGATCTGCTCGAACTCGTAGATGCTGATGATCGAGTCGAGGGCGGGTCTCAAATGGCTGCCGCTCTCCTGCTCTGCGGCCTCAACGCTGGTGCTGGTGCTGGGGTCTTTGTTGCTGTCACTGTCGCTGTTTACTCCGGTGGTCTCGATCACGCCGACCTTCTTCTCCGGGCCCAGAAACTTCTCGGCCAGCTGGGGGCTGTGGATTTGATTATAGATTTGGCTTCCATCCCGGCCGAAGAACTCTTCAATGGCCTCTCGGCCGCCTGGGTGCCTTGCCGCAAACCCGCTGATGTCCCAGACCACACCGTTCAAGACAATCCAGGCATCGTTGTCCGTGCTGTGTCTGCCGACTTCTTCAGCCGAGATCTGCCGCGCGCCCATCCTCAGTTCCACGTTGTCGACTGCGAGAAGGAGAGAAGCTGCGGGGACATCACGCTACATCTACATATGTAGATATAGGTATCTGCTGGAATGCTCGTGTCGTATCGCGGATATCGCCGCCTGATCTCCCTCTCCAGCCCTGCTCATTTTGCGGGACATCATGTACACTGGCAGGAAGCAACAAGTATATTATACCTGCCAATCCCGCAGACGGGGAGGGAAGGTGCAACGAGTCAACGTGCAACTGAACCTGCAACACTGGGCTCACCTACTACTACTGACGCTCTTGCTAGGTCAAGGTCAAGGTCTAGGTCTAGGTCTCTGATGGTGCTGAAGAACTTGCGATGTACGGACAATGAGTACGGAGTACTGAGTACTGAGTGCTCGGTGGAAATGGGCAATCGTCCAGCCACAGGCCATGGCCATGGACACACATGGACAACGCGGCAAGGTTGCGGCCCAAGATATGCTGGCTTACCCTGCGTCTGACTGGGTCGGGCCGGGTTACAGCCTCCGCCTCCGCCTCAGCCTGATGCAAGCACCCATGTTGCACTGCCCCGCTACCGACTCGGACCCTACAGGACTCAGCCTTCGCTGCCTGCTGGACATAAGTACCAGGTAGTTCGAAGTCTCTGAGTCCACCACAATCTTCGCACGGCAAAACGGTGTCGCGGCGGGAACCTAGGCTCATCGACATGCGGCTGCTCAACGCTCACACCGGCCAGCTAGTGGAATTCCACCCAGGCAACATTCCGTCTTATGCAATCCTCTCGCACACGTGGGGCGTGGGCGAGATCACCTTCGCAGACATTCATCAGCACAATGTGAAGAAACGTGCTGCTTACATCAAGATCAAGTACGCGTGCGAAACGGCCATCCGAAAAGACCTCGACTACGTGTGGGTCGACACCTGCTGCATCGACAAAAGCAGCAGCGCCGAACTTTCCGAGGCTATCAACTCCATGTTTCGCTGGTATAGAGACGCCAAAGTCTGCTTCGCTTACCTGGAGGACGTCGACACCCTGGGCCGCTTAGGCCCCCGAGCCTTGGAGAAGAGCCGATGGTTCACTCGAGGCTGGACCTTGCAGGAACTTCTGGCACCTGACAATATATTGTTCTTTGGCAAGTCTTTCGCCTTTCTTGGCACGAAAGACGACCTGTCTGAGCGTGTCGCCGCAATCACCCGAATTCCAAAGGCTGTCATTCAAGGCAAGAAGCAGTACAGCGAATACAGCGTGGCGGCACGAATGTCCTGGGCCTCACGACGGTCCACCACCAGACCTGAGGACATGGCCTATAGTCTGCTAGGGATCTTTGGCATCAACATGCCTCTTTTATATGGCGAGGGTGCTGGTGCATTCGTCAGGCTCCAGGAGGAAATTGCGAAGGTCACCGAAGACCACACAATATTGGCATGGCACTTTCGTCAGACCGGTTATAGGGCCTTGCCTGATACTTTTGCGGCCAGCCCCGCGGATTTCCACGATGTTCAGTCTTTTGTCCCGGTGCGTCTCAGAGCCGATGGGGATCCATTCACGGTCACAGCACGTGGACTGCGTATCCAGTTACCCTTTATTCGCAGAGACTCTGCCTACATTGGAATCTTGTCATGCGTGGATGAGAGGAACCCAATGGAATTGGTCGGGCTTGCTCTGGAATATGGCGAAAATTTGGACTCTCACATTATAAATAAAGGAGTCAGGCTCAATCGAAAAGAGATCCAAAACGATGTCATTTCGGTGAGGACTGTCTACATCAGGAAGAGTAGGACGCTTGGTTGGACAGCTTCGGTAACATATGATTCAGGGTGGACGTGTTTCATTCGAGACACGTTGGGAACCCAGACCGCGTTCCAACTTCCCGACCAAATGTACCGTGAAGGGTGGAAGAAAGAGTACGGCGTTTGGTTCCAACCTCTTGGGTGGGGCCAATCTTTTCGACTGCTTTACCATCACCCCGTACACGGGAAGGTCGAAATCTGTCTCAGCATTTACTATCTGCTAGAGGACCGAATGCCGACACCGCATGTTCCTATAAAGTTACCAGCTGACCCAAGACCCACATTTGCTCCAGAGTTTCCTGGCAATCGTGTTTACATCGAGAATGCGCAGCTGCCAATTGGCCTGAAGCTTGAGCTCAAGTTCATAGCCGACACTTTGGACCGAGATAAATGGTGGCTTGAAGTCAAGAGAGACGAGTCGACTCTCTTTGAAGAAAAGGTGCAGCGGGAGATCGAAGTAGGAGCGGCTTGACCGTCAATTGGGGAGGGAGGGAGGACTAGGCTCGGGTATTGGCCAACTCAGTATCAACGGGTGTTGTCTTGCTCTATTATATCTTTGGTCATGGTTGCCTATTTATCTATATATTCCATGCTTTACAATACCTCGTATCTGGCAGACCAAAGTCCAAGGTGCCAACTGATATCATCGATTCGTGTCCGACACCATATGTCCGTCATTAATCCAATCGCTATACGGTCGCAGCCCGGATCGGGGTCCATCAAATAATATCCATCGAGTCCATCTTCCAGATCTCGATGTGCTTGACATCGTCGGCGCGGATACGCTTGATTTTCCGTCGGCGCACAACCTCTTTGTGCCACCCATCGCCGAGGGTGGTACTGGTGTTCTCCGATCCTGGCCCTACATCGTTGGGTGGCCAAGCCCCGTTTTGCATCGGGACCTGGACAGGCATGCTTACCACCTCCTCGACGACACCGCCCACCTCCCAGACGGCATCTCCCACTCCAATGTAGCGCAGCTTGGGGAAGTCGTTGACCGAGGTCCCCAGGTTCTGTTCCAATACCTCGGTGGCCTGTTGCTCCGGTAGGCAGTGGGATAATTCCGAGACGGCGTTGTACTTCGGAAGCTGCGCCGGGGCTTGGCCGTCACGATCACGATCGCGCTCGTCGCCTTCGAGATCGAGAATCGGGCTCAAGATCCGCATCGCCCAAAGCTTGGATAGAAACGGGACAAGGATGCGAAGCACGTCCAGGTCCACACACTGGATCGCCGCGCTTAATTGTGTGAGGTTAGGGCACGAGCGGATGAGTCGGGCCGTTACCTGGGTCGGAAGAAGCCATCGAGCCGGCAGAATCAAATGCTTCAGCGTCGGGCCACACACGTCGCAGATGCTGTCGAGGTACAAGTCGCGGAGGCTGGTGTTTGGTGTAGGTGTAGGTCTTGCTGAGCGGTTGCCGCTCGTGGTTGTCGAGGGAGCCCGAGGAGACACTTCTGCCGACTCGGCTTTGTAGCGTGCGTTGATAAGATATAAGCGTTCGAGGCCGGCGGATTTGCCCAGGTCCAATGCATGGCGCTTGTGTAGCTGGTCCAGACGGAGTGTCTTGGGCCGCTTCGGCCTGGATCTTTCATCCACAGACACCATCCAGGCTCGGTCGATAAAGTGTGTCGCAGGACGGCCGTTCACGGCGTCTTCATCCAGCCCGAAAGTGTTCAAGGCGGTAAAGTCCTCGCACAGGCTGGAATCCAAGACCTCCACGCATTCTGCAGCATCTACGTACGGGAGGAGATTGTAGACGCCGATTTTCTTGAGGTAGAGCTTCTTCTTGGCCGCAATGTTTTTCCTGAAAAACTGGGTTAACATGACGGATGTCTCGCCTCGTTCTCTCATCCGAGGCGAGAAGTGCATGTTGAGGACCTCGAGCTTGCTGGCATGCAAGAACAGAGTCGAGAAGTCATCGGGGAAACAGAAGGGATCATAGTGTGTGATCGTCAGAGACTTGAGGTTGGGCAGAGGAGGCGCTTCCACCACAGGTTGCGGGGACCGGTTTGTAGGGAGTTTTAGCCATAGGGTTTCGAGGCTGGACAGTTTTGCAAGGCCCGCATACACGTTGGGTTGTCGTCTGGTGTCCAGATCCCACCTATACACACACGGTTTAGCTACGGACTTTGCCTTGGGGGAGTCGGGTGTCCTCACTTGAAGCTCCTGAGATGTACACACTGATCTATGGCTGCACGGATGGCTATGTTGAGAATCATCTCGCTCTCCGAAACTCGACCGGCTCTTGCATACTCGTCCAAGTCCGCCGCGCCAATCTCCCCTTCCAGAGCCAAGGAACGGACGAGACGGGACACATTCCTGGTGACTAGGGCGTTGAGGCCCATTGAAAACGGGCTGGCACCGCCAAAGCCCTCGGGGAGTTCATCTTTGTAGCGGATGCTGCTGTATGATTTCAAGGCCACATTGTTCCACAGATGTGGAAGAGTCATGTAGAAGAGGACGCGTGAGGTGCGGCATAACTGGGCAAGAGAGGCGACGTCGTCCTCCAGGTAGGATATTATGTGGGCGACGATCGTGAGGGGCACGCTGTCCACCCCAAATGCGCCTTGAATATCAGGACCATTGCTGTAGAGATGGTTGGCTTGAAAGGTCATCCTGCGGCGGCATGGGTAAGACGACGACGGTTGAAGCGGGCATTTAGACTGTTCAGGGACGGAACATGTTGGTAGTTTAGTCGGTTGGGAGCCTGGTGTGTCAACAGCAAGGGTACCACAGCCGGCGCACGACGACAACGAAATGGGCGGTGTTCAAATCAGTCGTCCACATGTTGATGGCCCGGTGTGCCACGCATAAAATATACCAGGCACCTAGGCAGACGTGGACAGCGCGGTGACAACGTCTGCGTATCACCGTCCCCATGGTCCACAGTATAGACTAACTACGGTGAGACGCCTTGCACTCGAACCACAGGCTCTCTGTTTCTGTTGATATTTTGGGGTATCATGGGTCCTATCGTGACTGTCATGCATGATGCGATTACAGGGGTTCTGTCGCAGTTGTTCCACCTGGAACAGATGGTCAACCGGTCCAAGCAGATCATGTGCCACCGGTATCTCTTCCGTCTTCTGAGACGTCCGAATCCTGCTCCACCTGCCCAAGCTGATTGTCCCCCGTCGAATTCCCCGCCACCACCACAGCTGGTGAAGGCTGAAGAGCTGATATGTTCGCTTCTGCGTCTGCCCCCGCGGCCATATTTGGAATAGTATTGGTCTCTGGATCGGCTATTCGATGAGGGCTCAATGGCCGTGGAGTGGTCCTGTTCTCACGCAGCGGGTCATGGTCCTGAACGAGTTCTCCAGTATCTTCCTCTGTGGAGTGCTCTGCGATCGGAGCGATATTCGAGGATGGCTTGTAAGCAGTCGGTCGTGGTGTAATAGAGTGAGCAATATCTCCTGCCTGGCTCGAGCTTGTTCCCGTTGCCGACGTCGTGAAGCATTCTGCAGCTGTCGTGCCATCATGACTTCCGGAAGCAGTACGAGACACGAGCGCCGTTGGCGGTGTGGCTACACTGTCGGGATGTTGAACGTTTCCGTCACCATGCTGGCGAGAATGGCTGGTCGCGGAATTAAGCAGACTGTCCGGAGACCAAGTCCGGCCTTGTATTGGAGCTGGTATGTTAACCACTGAAGCAGGGCCATCAGGCCCTCCTTGACCATCACCAGTTCCTTGACTTGCAGAGGACGTATTCCTGCTGTCCGTCGGGATTGCCGCGTCGATGGTCGGACCATCACACAAGTCATCCGGCGACCAAGTCCGCTCGTCACCCTTCGGGGCGGGAATCACAGTTACCGGCAAAGAGACTGCCGGAAGACTCCCTCGGTGAGCAAACCGCTCCTTTTGTGCGGAAGCAAATGCCCCAAGTCGACCACGCAAGTTCAGACTGCGATCAATTGGTGAACGTCTGATGCCACTGGCGATCTGTGCATCGGCTACTTCTGCTGGAGGTTCAGCCCTTCGGCGCTTGAATGGGCTGGTCACAGAATGCCACCTTTGTCGGTTGAAAGTCTCGCTTGGTGCCAAGATCACAGGTTCCAAGACCATCTCTTTGTCGGCGGTGGAGGGTAAGGAATCCAAGGCTGAATGCTCGGATGACGCGTCCACTGCGGCGTCAATGGCTGCATCGCTTGCCGGCCGAGAATGCATGTTCTGTAGGAAGTTCGGCGATGGGCTTGTGGGATTGTGGTAACGAATTGCATAAACTGTACTTCCGGTGCTCCCGGTGCCGGTCCTGCTGGGAGGCGGCATGCGCTCTTCCTGGATAACAAGCTGATTATGCGGTGCCGAACGTTGTCCGGTCGGGTTCAGCGCGTCCGCCCCAGTGTTGATACCATCTGGAGGCGCCGTTTTGCGCCGTTTCCGTAGTGGAAGCCGGACACGGAGCCGATTGTACCTCGAAAGCATGCCGTCGCCTATGGTCTTGCGAAGCCCACCCTCTTGACCGGTGCTCCGACCATGGCCATGCCAACTTGCATCGTCCGAGGAAGTCATATTAAGCATCTCATCGCCGTCGAATACTTCCCTCCCAAGAATTCCATCTTTTCTCTCGTCCCTCTCCAGGGACTCTATCCGTTCTACCCATTCCCAAACGACAACGCTGGCCGCGGCTGCACCGACCCATCGGATATACTCACCCCAGCCCGCCAGGTCGGGTTGAGATATGTCCAGCACAAAAAACACCACTGGAATGACAACAGATATCAGAGACAGTAACGCAACCAGACAGATGTTCTTCATCTTCGGATGCCAGAATGCGAAACGCCGTTTGGAAAGACAATAATAGACCACACACGAGGCGTAGATTAGGGAGATGGCCAGTTCAAACAAGTAGTTCAGGGCGGGTATGGCATCTGAGAAACTTCGTGGACGTGTTCTCGCGTTGTCACTGACAAAGGAATCCAAGATGCTGAAGATTGTGTCGGAAGAAACCATTGCAAACCCGAGCCATTTGATGGTGACCTTCTCCTTGTGTCTAGGGAACAAGCGAATGAGCGTTTGTACCTGCGCGAGCCATAGAAATGTGTCCGATATGACCCGGATAATGCGAATTTCGAGGCTCCTCACGACGTTGTCGACCAGCTGATTGGAGTCCATGTAACCTTCATTGTACTGATTTTCTGCGACCGAAAATGTATCCGCGGTGGCTATCGTCAGAGAAACGGCCACGGTGACTGTTGCAATCTTTTGTAGCAGTGGCCTGCGCCCAACACCCACTATGGAAGACGATCCATATGTGCCTGTGATGACACCGCGACGCCCCAGTAACCTCGCTCCGCCACCCGGCCCTCCCACGAAAAAAGTCCTGGGAGTAATGAAAATCAGGATGACCAAGACGTAGCTGATTACGGTCGCGGTAGCAAGGGCAAATATCTGCGGCGATATCGACGCATAGAAGGGATCCTGGAAGCCGATGACTGAGGAGTTACCGGTGGTGTCGGGGCTAATGATGGGATCTGGGTTTTCGCATGGAAGCATAAAGGTGACCTTGGCCTGTAGGGTACTGGTCTGATCATTGTCAAAGACAAAAATTCCTATTTCAGGTCAGTTTGAGTCTTTTGTCGCATGCAAGGCACCTAATAGGTACTCACCCCCGCTGGGTAGAATCAGAGGCGTACACCACGCACTGGAGGCCGTCTGACTCACGGCTGGAGTGCTCAGGTGACCCCATAGTTGGCGAGCGGTGACTTGAACACCGTGGGACATGCCTGGACTACCGTTTCGAGGGACTGGAGAAGGGATCTGAGTGCCGCATAGTTGAGGCGCCGGTACCGCAGGAAGGCGAGGGGTGTCGTGGTCCGAATATCATGCGACCATGTCTTGCAGGGCTATTCTCAGTATGAGGTCGGTATGTCGCAGCCAGAAAACTCTGAGACAAAGTCCAGAGACGACCAAGTAGAACTACAGTGTAACAGAAATGGGGCCAGGACGAGTTGCAGGTACGTACTCGAACGAGAAGAGATGGCAGACTATCCCGTGCGGTCCGGCGGGGCCTGACTCCCGCCTTTGGTCAATCATTATGGTGCCTGGCATCGTCGGCCTGCACAGCTCAATTGTCAAGCAATATACATGTAATTAACATGAATGCCACGCGGTTCACAGTCCTTAGGCAGGTACTCCGTACAGCGGCTCAGATTCTACCACAACTAGAATATAGATTTCATACAGGCTGATTGCAGCTGCAGTGCCTGGCTATGCTAGAACTCGGTATGAACAGCTGGAAAGCTCCCCGCCTCGCCCCGCAAGCTGTCTTGCATCAAACCTGAAAGCGCAAGAAGAGTATGTGGTGGCCGCTGGCCCATCTCGCCGTCGTCAGTCGTCAGTAGATCGTGCAGTCGTAAAAGGAGCTTTCCAAGATACCCTGTCCCAGACCTTCGTTTCGTGAATGCAGTCAAGCCTAAGGTATAATCACTCTTCCACTATAGACCAGGATGTCCGGTCTCGCCTCACAAGTTGTTGAATCCGAATGTTTGATCGCCGTTCCACTGCATCTGGCTGTAGTCTTGGTTCGTAATCACTTCCAGCATGTCTCGAGTTCCCACGGTTGGACCAATTCCGCCCAAGCCTTGGTCAACCGTGTTTTCGTCATTGTGCCAGAGATTGTCCAAGGGAAGTGCGAACCAATCCATCGAAAAGTTAGCCATGGTAGGGTCGAGGCTCGAGTCATCTAGTGCTGGATCTAGTTCGTGACCGCTGCCATTGCAGTCAGGCGGTGGCACAAATGTCTGAGAGGCCAGTTCTGCCATAGGTCTAGCTTGAATTCCTGCTAGAGGATCATTCAAGTAGAGCTCAGGACTCTGCCGTATCACGTCCATGGCCTGTACATGGTGATGGTGATCACTGGAAGTGTCATGAGCATAGGCATGCCCGTTGGGAGATTGCGGGCGTGAATGTTCGCGGCTGGGACCGGCAGATCCAGTCCCCGGCTGCTGGACGCGAATCAACGTCTGCTTCACGTTTCGCACAATGTGTCCCACCAGTCGTGAGGTCGAGGAACAGAGGTGGACGTCATCAACGTAATCTTTGGACATTGCAACAATGATCTTTTCTAACTGCCGGAGGCATTTTCGGACCAAGGCTTCATGGGTCCCTAAGCTAAAGCGCTGCAGCAGGCTAGGTTAGCGGCGGACAACGGAGCCCTCAACATGCTGGTATAACGTACCTTCAGGGTGAACATCATTCCTGATAGGCTCCGAAGGTAGACGCGAACGGGGGCGTTTCTTAGGTAGCCTTTAGCAGCAATACCGTCCACCACAATGCTGAGGATGTTGAGAGCAGCGTCTGTGACTTCATCAATATAGGGCTTGTTGTCCTCCGCAATCTTTAGCAATGTTGCTTTTCGAATGTTGGACCCGCCTTCAACCCACGATTCCACCACCTTTTGGAAGCCCAGGGAGTTGATGTAGAGCCGGGTGTATTCGTATTCCAGGAGCAGGATATCCTGCATGACCGGATGGATATGAGCCTTGGACTGGTTGAAGACATTCTTCCAGTGCTGCAGCAAGGGAGCCAACGTGTTGATGGAACTTTTGTATATGCCGCTTGATGCTAGGTCTCTGGTGAATTGAGGAGAAGAGAAGATTTCACGATTCGCTCTGTTGAGAATTCTTGCGATGTGGACCCAGCAGGCTTGCATGATATCGACGGGATGGTCAGCTTGTCCCGGGCGTTGCCTCCGACTTGTTTGGTCCCAGATTGTGTCAGTTTCCCACTCTTCCACGTTGAGCGACGACTGGATACCCATCCTTCCACTGGTTTGAGCGACATAGACAAGGACTAGATTTTTGATGCGCCTCTTGCGTGCACATTCAGAACCAGGCCCGTGATCGTGGAGGCAATTGATGTGGTTGGTGTCAAACACACCGAGCTCAAATGCAAGGCTTTGGGCGAGACCAAGAAGCATCCACGACATCCGATCAGACCTCCAAACCGGTTCTAGCCAGCTTGCGTATGGCACGTTGTCGTAATCCCGAGTCCGTCTCGGCTCTTCTTCTTGTGCAGACGGGATGACATTCGACTCCAGGGATGTGCCAAAGCTTTGGTCAAGGAGACCAGTTTCATCATCATTAGATGGGAAATGGAGAGCCTGTGGTTGCCAGTCCGTGAGTATGAGAAGAGCCTCAATCGTTCCAAAAGTGCGCAAACTCCCACTCCAGGTAATCTGCCCAGTCTTGGACTCCCTGATCTTCGCAGGACTGCCGCCTCCGCCGAAACCTCCACCGAATTGCTCCAGCCCCCATAAGAGCCGCTCCACCTGCCGGCGCAAACTGTTCCAAAGCTTGGCTTGAATATGATGTGATCGAGTAATCGCAGCATGGCCAGAAAGAGGCATATGACGGGAAGCAATCGCGAGAACTGCAAGGGCGAGGATCGGCTCGTTGACCAGCAGATCACGGTGTTTGGAGGACGATCTGTAGTCAGGCAAGACCACCGGTGTCAAGGTCGCGAGATGTGTATAAAAGTACTCTACATATTGCATCGCTTCCCAGGCAGTGAACCATCCATTGCGAACGAAACGCACTTCGGACCAGAGTTTGAGACCAGCTTGCTGCTCCTCTTGCTCTTCTAGGCTGAAGCCCGCTTCATCTGGAGCTCCAGGACCACTGCGACCGAGAGTAAAGTTTTTCCTCTTCGGCCCAGCGCGATCGGAGAAGGGGCTGTCGTTTTGCTGTGAAGCGTGGTTGTCGGAGAAGGCGGCATCGACGAGAATACCTAAGGCATCTTGGGTATTGGCCACGGGCGCGTGTAATTTGGCCGCAGCAATCTGACTATGCAGATGTATGTCGGAGAGATCTTTCTTCGTAGCCGGGGAATTGCCATACGTGGAGGTGGTGCGTGCTCGAAGTGAGTCGTCGCGAGGATGAGAGAACAAGGTAGGTTTTGCGGTGAGAGGCGACCAAGCCTCGCGAGCGAGGCCGCCTGTACGGGGTAAGGGTGAGGATGACTGCTCGGTTCTCTGAGTAAGGCCGTAAGTCGGCAAGCCACTACCTAGGACAGAAGTATTTGGGCCATCTGAGGCATCGTCGACAGAAATGTCTCTTGCGGTTCCATCCAACCTCTTTTGCTTCTTTCGGGTTGGCGCGAACTCGCATCTCAGCCGCTCGCGCAAGCAACGCTTACAAGGAGGATCGGTAGGGGCATCGACACCTAAAAGAGATACAGTCAATGTTAAGTCCGCAAACTGAGGCTGTGTATCCTACTGCCAAGATCGCATTTGACTTTCCGCTCACGACAGCGTTGACAGGCCTGATAGCCACGACGATGAGGACGACCATCGCGGGCCAGAGCGCCTGTCGGATCTGAGGACTCCGGCGACAGGGACTCGTTCTTATAGTCCGCTGAGCCAGTCGGACCAGAGCCAGACAACTGACTAGTCGAATTGTAACCCATCCTGGGCACAGTGTTGGTTGGTAGGCACCGTTGTGAGGACAGGCGTGACTGATGTTGATAGAAGTCCGAGGTCCGAAATAACCGGCAGAAAGAGGAATGTCGAGTGAGAGAGCGCCAAGTCCAGCGAAGCCTAGGTACGGAGTACATGTATCCGTACTCCGTAGACTTGCCGATGTAGCACTACACCCCGGTGGCTGTGCGACCCCAATAATGGCACGTTCTAGCTGGTGGGAGAGCGGCGCCGAGTAGAATTGGCGAAAGTGTGGCTAGCCATCGGACGCGGGGTTGGCGTCGGTGTTAGTATCCGCTATGTCCATTGAGCCCAATTCGGGCATGTCAGATGACAAGGCTGTGGCCTCCACCAGAGCAACGTCCAAAACCATGCCGGTGTTCTAATACGAGATCTTGCCTTGAACATATAGGTTCTAAAGGAGATCGTGCATGGGCGGTAAAGGCCGCATAGAATACTAGATTGGTCTTTGGGGTAACTTGAGTTGGGAACCTCTAAAGTGACGTGGAGGTTACAACTACTCGATCCTTATTTTGTTTCCCTATCCCGCAGGCCGGAAAAGCCAGTCCTATATGACAGATCCTGCGCCGGTGAGGTTGACACAAATGAGTCGTTGGACTGTTTCTCCTTCGTACCACCAAATCCTCCATTCACCTTCGCATCATTGGTGTCTTGATTGGAAAGTGCTGGTATGCTTTGCAGGCTGTCGCTGCTGGTCCGTCGTGATACATCAGAACTGATGCGGCCACCTAGAAGCCCTCTGACTCCGCCAGCCTTGCGAGCGGGTAGATCTCCCGTGCCCGCTGTCAAAACGTAAAGCAGGTACTTGAGGTTGGGCAGCGTATGCCGAATATCAAGGACCCGTAGACCGGCACGACTCATAAGAAATTCAATGTCCTTGTTGAGCAAGAAGACCGCATATTCAAACTTGTACGGCACGCTCGTAGGATGGAGGGGGTATTTTCTTTGGCTGAGTCCAATGGAGACCGGGTCCGAAATGAATGATGTAGAACCGTACGGCTCAAGGGGATAGGGCAACGGTGTGGATAGATATAGCGCCAATTGATGCACTAGCTGCGCAGTAAAGCCAAGAGCTGCTGATATCTCGTCGCGATTTGTGTCGTCGTAAACGGAGTTCGGAAGATAAATGCCGCAGATGGTGAACTGCAACGTGCGACTTTTGAAGGGTTCAATGGGGAAAATGTTGAGTAACGCCTCACATATCCGCCGAATCTGGCCGCGCGCCTCTGTCTCCATATGCTGCAGCCGAGTTTCTAAGTCTTTGCACGCCTGGGACCTGTCTCCTAAGAGCTTCCTAGACTCCGACAACGTCTCACGACCGATGGCTAGTGCGTGGCGTCTCCGCTCTAAGGACTGTTCCAGCTCGTCTCTCCGGCTTTTCAGTTGTCGTAGCCGTTTCTGTTCCGCCGCTAGTGCAGCCTTCGCTTGAGGACTTTCACCGTCGAACCCAGGGTCTGCCTCATCATCGATGTTGAGCACGTTGGCTTCCGCGAGGATGGTGTTGATATCGTCTTCAATCTGAGACCTGACCTTGACGGCATCTTGTATGCAGTCATCCAAGTTTGCAAGTTGCATCAGAGCATCGAAGGAAGAGCCTAGGTTGCTGGCGCCATCACGATGATTAATGGATTGGTCGACCATGGGGTGCGGCTCGGCCGGCAAGTCGGTAAAGCTGGTATAGATGCCATCGGACAAGTGAAGCAGGATACAGTTCTGGGGTAAAGGATGGTGGAATTTCTCAAGGCTCCGACCGAGGAATTGCAATGACCGCAGATCCAGGTCAAGTTCGACAAGGAGGCAGTACTCTTCAGTGTCGGCACTTCTAGCCCACACCCGGATGGCACATTCCGCAGACCTTGATACGTGGGATCCACTGCTGTCCAGGTCGAAAAAGGCAAAGCTAGGGTTCATGGACCTCTCTATTACCTCGCTGATGTAGATAGGTTCTGAACTGCCTGGACAGTGGACAGAAATCCATGAATCTGCTAAACGGCTCACAACGATATCTTCCAACTTCGACTGCCGCGTCCGCGGACTTGCAGATGCCCAATGTAAGGTGCTGCTTCTGCGCATTCGACCTCCGCTGGGCCGATTCGAGTGTACCTCATTCTTGTCGTATGAAGTGGAAGCTTTGTGTAGGGGAATTGGGTTGAAGGGGTCGTCGAGCGCGGAGGACAAATCTGCGAAAGAGCGGGACTGGGCCAGTTGCTTGGTGTCGTTCTGCAGGGCGCGCTTTGTGGGAGAGGCGAGGCTGTAGAGTGCATCGTCGTCCGTAATCGTCTTTGCACGCCTTCTGGCACCGGGGGCAGTAATGTGGAGATTGCGCAAGGAGATGCCGTGTAGATGACGCAGTCGGCGATTCTGGTAACAGTCAACTCGGGCGCAGAGCAGTTAGCGTGGAAGCACACTGACCCACGGATATAAGAACGGGCGTTCATTGCGAGGTTTGGAGGTGAGACTGGACTCGTCTCCATGCTCGGCCATTGCTTGTAGTGGTGGACCGACGCATTGCGAGCAAACCAGGGCCCGCGCGGCTCAAATGAGATCAGGAAGTGATGGATGGTGTTGGATTACATTCAGGCAAGTAAGCTTCTGGGTGGAGTAACGTAACTGTCGACAGGACGTGAGACCTGTGTTGGCGGCACTATGGTAGAGCTGTACACGGCAGACCGAGCGTGGATGCTGAGAATTTGGAAGATTGTATTGTTCTCATGTCACCAACATTTAATTCATTGCGACGGGTAGAACATTGGGGTGACCACGATGTCTGACAGCGGCCAATCAAAAGTGTACATAGTCGGGGGAATGCTCCTCCGTGGTGAGGGCGAGAAGGGCAGCTTGCCCGAGACTGCGACTACGACTGCGTTGACGGTACCATCTACGGAGTACTGCTTCATATCCCCACCAACGGTTGGCCGATAGACAGACGTTGCACTATTGAAGAAGTGGAGGGACACAGACCCCTGCAGGATGTCGCAAATCTCCAGGATACTGGAGAAGCATGGATGCAGCGTACGGAAGACTTCAGAAGGACCAAACTCAGCCCGTACTTGGTCCATACCACCGGGCCGCAGATTGCCATGCCAGACCATTTGAGGACAAATCCCATCGCACGTGTCGTCCTGAATCGCTGGAGTGGGCAACAAGCTACGGTAAAGATTCTCGACGAGTCGCGTTGAGACGAGGATGATACAAATTGATGCCTTAGGTTGACAGATTTGACAGCTTCTTCGACGCGTCGTGCTTGGCTGTGATATCCTCCACACCCTATGCTTTCAATGCAACAAAGCTGCAATCTCCCTTTACATCGTGTGTCACGCTGTCAAGTCCTACTGACAGCCTGAAGGACCACAGGCAAGCTTCAAGTTAGGCGGTCAAGTTGTACCAGCCGCAAATCTTCGAAAGTAGTCCAACAACTAGAGCCCTCCTATTACCTCCTATCTGAGTCCCAGCGCGCCTTATTCTCGCGAATAAGGGGAGCAGTCCAATATACGAGCCTTCTACACCTACCTATTCATGGGTCTTCTGCTACCACTCAGTCTGCGCTCCGGTCTACTGGCGCCATTCCCTACCAGGTCAGCTGTCTAATACTGCGTGTCGGGTGCACAAGATACGAAGGAGCTTCAATCGAAGAGATGGCCCTGACTGGTCACAGTTTCTGATGGAGCACTGTCCTGCTCTAGGCTTGAACCGCCGTTCTGACAGCAGTCTGCCGGGCTGTCTAATCTCCCTCGCCTCACCCGGCCAACAGACCAGCCTCGAGCCCATCCTTGAACATGGCGCCCTCATCCCTCATCTTAGCGCCACCTGCGGCGAGGACGTGATGAGGGCGCCTGGGAAACATATACTTCTAGGTTGCCGCACTGGGTTCTCCATCGTCCAGGAGTCCCTCTTTGTATATTTCTTCGCAGCACAGACACTCTCACTTTAGTCGCTCTCTTTCCTGTGCTGCTGTTTCTTCCTCATTCATTTCTCGTGTCATTCTTTCTTTCGATTGTCGAGAACTGCTTGACCACGTTTGAACAGTGGGTTTACAATGAAGGCCGCGATCTCAGCATTCGTCGTGCTCGCAGCGAGCGGGAAGGCTGCTGCATCATGGCTAGATTGGCTCGACCCTGATGTTACCGTCACAAACACCCTAACCCGGACAGTCCAGTACTGCCCGTGCAACGGCGAGGTCTACACTCCAACAGGAGAGGTCGGCCCTATCGAAACAACGCCCACTGGACCGAGGACTATCACAAAGGCAGGTCCCATTGTTGTTGTCTATACAACAGAGGGATACTTGACAACGAAGACGGGAATTGCAATTGAGCTGTACCCTACAGATGGTGCTCCTGGTTCTACCGTTACGAAGACGGTCTGGACCGGTGCGCAGCCCACCGATGATCTGGCTTGGATTGATTGGAGTGATGACGACGTGGTGGATGGAGCGACGTTGACGAGAACGCACACCGAGTTCACCACAGTGATCGGGCCTGCCCCGACTAGCGATGAGCCCGAGCCATGGTCTGACTGGGTCGCTACCACCAACTCCCCCGTGACGACCTCGACAACAACACCGGGGAATGTCGGCCCCATTGGTGGTTCAACAACGTCGAGCGGTTACTGGTCTTCGCTATGGACTTCATCTTCAAGCTCCAGCAGCAACGACGTTGGGCCGATCGGTGGCTCAACAACAACATCCTCCAGCCTCTACAGTACCTCTACCACAACCTCATCTGGGGGAGATGTAGGTCCAATCGGCGGTAGCACAACCACCACGTCGAGCTTGACCACCACGCCCGTGACTAGCTCTACCATTGCTACAACTACCACGTCGGCTATTGGATCCCCCGTTGAGCAAACCACGTCGTCAACTACTGAAGCTGTTGGCACCACCACGACTAGCGCCGCCCTCACTACCACCACGACTTCCGCCATCGTCGCTACCACAACCTCCGCCGCATCAGCTACCCAGACCGTGAATGTTGGCACCGACTACATCTCTGGTATACTCGAAGCTCATAACCTCCATCGGGCGAACCATTCGGCTGCTGATCTGACCTGGTCCACCAACTTGGCTACCATTGCCGGCGAGACTGCTTCGTCCTGCGTCTACGCACATGATATGTAAGTCTTTTAATCCAGCTGCCATCCAGTTCCCGGGATTGAACAACGCTAATAATTGACGCGCAGTACAACTGGAGGTGGCGGATATGGTCAAAACATCGGTGCTGGCTATCTTCCGGTCCAAGTCCCGAGCATGATTGGCAACGACATGTATAACCGTGAGATGCCGCTGTATCCTGGCCCTTACGATTCCAACAACGTTGATACCAGCACCTTCGCATCCTGGGGTCACTTCACACAGATTGTTTGGAAGGGCACCCAGCAAGTCGGCTGTGCTACTCAATATTGCCCGCAAGGATTGACTAATGCCGCGTTTGCGCAATACTTCACTGTTTGCAATTACTATCCCCCAGGTGAGTTATTCGATCTTGGCTGGCCACCCAAAATCAGCTAACCTTCAAATCAGGTAATATTGAAGGTGCCTATGCCAACATTGGTGCTCCTCTGGGCGAGCCAATCACGGTTGTCATTGAGCAGTAGATACCCGCGATTACGCTCGTCATTGAGCCCAAGAACTCGGAAAAGATTCATTAAAGGAGGTAATTCTTGGAGGTCCACGGCATATGTATTGTTATAGTTGATATTCGGCACGAGGATCTGGCCCGTTTTTGCCTTGGCCAAGCATTCGTTGGAGAAGGGAGCATGGGACATATTTTAGGAAAGGAGGGAGGGACACTCGGGAGAGAGGTTTATGTATTCGAGGTAGCTACTGCTGCTGGAAGCAACAATATTATATTTGTCAACTTTGAAACAGCAGTGCTGCCCTCGGAGCTAAACGGATGCCCCCTCATACCTTAGCTTTGGGAACTTGGCCCCAGAATCATAATCCAAGATGCGGGTATAATCATGTCTCTACCTCAACGCCGGACGCACATGCTTAGTAGGACGCAGAAATCCACAGCGGGACCGTACCGGCCTCCCTTCATCCTGGCCGCGACTGGTGGCCGGACCTGGAGGCTGCTCGTTCAAGTCACCTGGCCCACGTTGGCCACGCTCTCCTTCTGGTTCCAATTGATGAGGCTCTTCAAGCCCGGGGTTGCGCCTGTTCCTGATCGTTTATTTCGCACTTCCCAGGAACAAGCCTCGCAGTGTCTGATTGAGTGGTTGGGTGATCTAGTTGACTACCGTCGTAAACTGTCAAGACGGGCTTGTAGGTCATCGTCTTCTCCTCCTCCGCCCACTGCCTGGGCTACTCGCCCTTCCGGCACCGCCGCCTTTTGTATGCCAGTGGGGGTGTCGCCGAGCTGGGAAAACGTTAGTAATGTCGTTCACCAGGTGTAATTTGCACATTGAATCGACTTACAGCATTGTTGAGATCCACACCGATTTCGTCCAGGACCTGGTTGACGACCTCCTCTCCTTCTTCTTCGTCCTCTAGGCCCGTCACGTCATCAATAGCATCGTCCATCATTTCTTGTCGCTGATCCATAATATCATTCTCACGCTCGAATTCCATTGCAATTCTCTGGAGAGCAGGCAAATTCATTTGCCTATTCATACTCCCTAGAAGCATGGTCGCTCCCTTCATCGATTGCATCATTTGCTCGTTACTGCGAACTGTCTGTTGAACATGTCTGGGTCAATCCCACCGGTCTGATAGCAGCAACATGAGGACGTGACGCACCTGTATCCGCAAAGAAATGGCCTGTAACTGGGTCCTCATCTGATAGAATTTCTGAATGTATCTCCGAGTACGGACCAGGTCCTTTGCTTGGATCTTGCAGGCTCCAATCTGGCCATTCTTCGCGCTTTTCTTGATATCGGCAACCAGTTTCTTCTCTTGGTTCTCAAGCTTGACCCTCTCTCGGTCGAGTTCCCGCTGTGTCTTTTCAAGTGCGCGCTGGTGCTTGCGAAGTCGCTCCGCGGGCGTCATGCGCTTGCCGAAAGCCCATTCTATGATCTTCCGGGGGCGTTAGTGCAAGATCACGGTCGACTGTCTGGTGGCGCAGGCTTACATTCATTGTGAAGTAAATGTGTGAGGGGTTTCAGGAGTCGAGAGACGGTCACGGTGGGATATCAGCCTGAGAGGGGCTTCGCAGAGTTCAGTCGGATGTTCGTATCGGCCATGCAGGTGCAGTGTACGGAGTAGTGCAGTGGTTGTTGTTGGTTGGAGCCTTGAATGCCGCAGCCAGTGACGTTGCGGGAAATCGGCGGGCTAAGGATGGCGGATTACTGTACGATCTTTTTGTCTCCTCTGGTTACGTGACTTCCGGGTGCAGCAAACCACTCCGCCCACCTACTTGGGATCTGGTTACCAAGCTGGCAAACACCCAAACACCTAGCCTCAACCTAGCATTTTTACGGAGTTGACGATGTCTCTGTCCTTCCACTGAAAGCCGCCTTCTCTGGATAAAGCCTCGCATCCTCTTCAACGATGAGCCAATCTTACTTCCCAAGTCAGGGTCAATCGCAACAATCGAAAGACGATGAGGAAAACAGCAACCCAGACGATATGGCATCGCCTGCACCGATCCGCCCCTCCTCGTATCCACCACAATATATGACAGTGGGCAGCGGAGGTCATCCTACGCATGCTGCGGCTCTCATGGAACAATTGGAGCAGGACTCGGGCTACGGAAGCATGGGGGGCGACGCGCAACAACGTGGTGGCGAGATGCGCGCATGGGAAGATGGACTTCTAAGAGACAGACCTACGCCGGCCCATACCCCTCATATTGATGGACGTCCCGGGAAAATGTCCGAAACCGAGAAGCGGGCACTCGCAGGCCATGTCCATCAACTATACTACAACCAAAATCGCGTTGCCCTGGCCAAGGCGATTGGCCAAACAGTGGAACTATTGAAACAACTACAAGAAATGAATGCCCAGTGGCCTGCACATTATCCGTCAGTCCAGCGCCCTCAGGACGATAAGCAACCTAGCAGACCGACCATCACACAAGCCCAGTCAACGAGAGACCAGAGCGATTTGTCACGGGACATCTTCATGAAGACGGCGGGGCAACCTCGACCAGGAGCATTGCGGAGGGCTGGCACCTCGATTGGAGAGGACACTTCGGCGGAATCGAGTGCGCAGGCTGAACGCAGGACGACTCCTGAGCCACGGCTGATTACACCCCAGATAGCCCAAGAGTTCTCGATTCTGAAGCTGGATCTCAAAGTGGGCGCATTGTCACAAACGGAACTGGTCCATTCGCTGGAGAAAAAATCAATCGCCTCATTACTCGACGGCAAGATAAGCCAAAGTGTTCGCCACTTGCTTGCTCTTCGAGACCGGATAGAAGACGCCTCCAGTAAGGTTCTGGTCACCGGGGATCTCAATGCTGGGAAGTCGACATTTTGCAACGCTCTGTTACGGCGGAAGATCCTCCCCGAAGACCAGCAGCCTTGCACCAGCATATTTTGTGAAGTTCTTGATGCAAAAGAAAATGGCGGCATCGAGGAGGTACATGCTGTCCACAAAGATTCAATATATGACCGAAACGATGAAAGTACGTACGACAGCTATTCTCTGCAAGAGCTGGAGAAGATCGTTGTTGAAAACGACCGGTATATGCAGTGCAAAGTCTACATCAAGGACGTCCGCACCATCGACCAGTCATTATTAAATAACGGGGTCGTGGATATTGCACTGATCGATGCGCCTGGGTTGAATTCTGACTCGGTAAAGACAACTGCTGTCTTCGCCCGGCAAGAAGAGATCGACGTGGTCGTATTCGTGGTCTCTGCGGCGAACCATTTCACTCTCTCGGCCAAGGAGTTCATCTGGCAAGCCGCCCATGAGAAGGCCTACATTTTCATGGTGGTCAATGGGTTCGATAACATCCGAGACAAAGAGCGGTGCCAGAAGCTGATTCTTGAGCAACTGGCCAAACTTAGTCCCCAGACATTCAAGGAAGCCCAAGAATTAGTACACTTCGTGTCCAGCAATGCGATTCCCATGGCGCCATCACTACCATCAAGTGGACCGGATGGTGCTGTGGGCGGGTCAGGCCCCTCCAACCCTCCCGACGACGACGGTGACGACGGTGATGGTGATGACCAAGGAAAGGGCAAAGGAAAGGACAAAGAGAAGATCCAAGATTTTGAGGTGCTTGAAGGCGCTCTGCGGAGGTTCGTTCTAGAGAAGCGAGCGCGCTCGAAACTTGCACCGGCGAAGACTTACCTGATGAATTGCCTGGCCGACCTGAACGTCCTCGCCACGGTGAATCGAGATGTCGCCGAAGCTGAACTCAACAGAGTGTCCAAAGAGCTTTCTGAAATCGAGCCCGAATTCGAAGACAGACAGAAAAAGCGAGTGGCCATCGCGGAGCAGATTGAGAAGGAAATCGACTCTACATCTACTGATGTGTACAACTATACGCGTTCAACATTGTCCAGTACCATCGCCAACGTTGGGAGGGAAGACCATGGTGTTGAATACCCAGGTCTATTCTCAGCCTTCCAATATGCTGAGGACCTTCGCATCGCTATGCTCGGCCAGATTTCAGCTGCAGTCACAAGTTGTGAAACATACGGACGGAGTAAATCCGTTGAAGGCGTCAGTATGATCAAATCTCTTGGTCTATTGCACGTGGGCGACAGCTATGAGAGGCTCAATTTCCAAGCAGACAAGATGTTTCAGCGACGCAAGGACGCGCTGGTTCGGTCAGTGGACACGGATGTAGAGATCTGGGACTTCTTCGACGTGGCAGGTTTATGGGAGCGGCAGGAGAAGACGGTCGGAACTGGCCTGGCGCTGACAGTGGTTGGCACAGTTGGTTCGAGAGCGATTGGCGGTGTCGGCTGGGTTGATGGTGTCTTTGGGGCGGCAAAGATCATTGGCAGTCGGAATTTGAGAAGATTGGTGGTGCCAGGTGTGGTTGCTGCCGGTGAGTTTCTCCTCTCTC